GGGTTGAATTTTTTTAGCGCATATTTGTTTCAAGAGTGTCAGGAAAAATTTTCAAGTGCAATTAATGAAGTTAACATTGATTTACTGTCAAAAAAGTCGCATTTTTTCACAAAAAACGCGCGCGCGCACGCACTTTTGCTCAGATTCCTTCAAAACCAAAAAATGCACGTAATATACATAATTCTGAGTTTGCATGCAAAAAATCAGCCTCCTACGACAATTCTAAGTTATGTTTAACCACTGTTTAAATTTTCCGGAGAGTAATACGTTTTGTGCCCCCCCCCCTTTAAATACATGACTACAGTCCCGTCAAGATTTATTTTCGACTAAAGGCAATTTTTGTAACAGTTTAAATGTAACATATATATCCATATAATAAAACAAGACATTTGCATATATATATATATATATGTTGCCTATAGCCGGCCAAACGGCTGGACCGATTGGGCTGAAATTTTTTGTGGACACTCATGGGTGGCCGGGAGTGTTATAGGCTTGAAAAATTCGATAATTTTTTCAATTTTTTTTTTCAAAATTTTTTTCCCACGGGCAATGCCGGGCCCTTCAGCTAGTTTTAAATGAAGTATTAATAGCTCTGCTATAATTATTATCAATGTTCGAATCCGGACCCATTGAACACGTCACATTTTAGTTCCCTGGATCCGGATCTGCAAAAATATATGGATCTACGTCCTACGGAACCAGGTGGCAAATCAGGGAAAAATGTTGCTCCCAAAACAGAGCTTCCAAACTTTTTTGGTTTAAACCAATAAAATATCATTGGGTTCCCTTTTATATTTAAACTTGATTTGATTTGACTAAAATTTCGGAATACCCTTCCAAAACCAAGTTTTCTTGCATAAGAATAGCGAAAACAAAAGAATAAATTTGTTGTTATTTTAAAGAAAATTTACATCGCTGATCTTAGGATAAGATTTTGCCGGGTGAGGAGGCAGCCTTCTCAAAGAAGAATTTAGATTGGAGTATGTTCAAAGTAAGTTTAAAACAAATGGTTTTTTAGATGTTTTTTATTCAAATTTAAGATTGATAATTAATTGTCATTGTTATTTTGTGAATTTTAATAAATAACATATACTTTTATCTGAAAGCTTTCATAGAATAATTTAAAAACCAAATAGATAATAAATTCTGTTATTACTTATTTCAGATGACAGAGAAGATTAAAACACGAATCATCAAGTTTGTTAAATCTTACGTCAAAAAGTATCCTTCATCTTGAATCTTAATCCTGAAAAAAATAGAGTTTGGTTGTAAAAACTCCAAAAGAAGTTTTTTTTTTGTTAAAAATTGTTAAATCTTTAGTGCTGTGTATGTTATATCAAGACTTGTGTCCCTAAAAAGACAACGTTTTGAGTTTATAATGTTTGAAAGGCATTTATGCCACGCATTTTTAAAGTTTGTCTGCTTAACTCAATCAAAATTTAACATGTTACCATTGTTTTTTAACCGAATTAACTAATTGCATTCTTTTTAATGAAAAAGTTCATGCAAAAAATGAAATAATATGTTCACTGTACAGTATCAACACAATTTTTTGTATTGGCTATACCACAGAACGAATAATTAAAACAAAAATTGCCTTTATGATAATTTATTTTTGTAAAAAAAATTGTTAAATCCTTAGTGCTGTGTATGTTATTTCAAGACTTGTGTCCCTGAAAAGACAATGTTTTGAGTTTATAATGTTTGAAAGGCATTTATGCCACGCATTTTTAAAGTTTGTCTGCTTAACTCAATCAAAATTTAACATGTTACCATTGTTTTTTTAACCGAATTAACCAATTGCATGCTTTTTAATGAAAAAGATCATGCAAAGAATGAAAATAATATGTTCACTGTACAGTATCAACACAATTTTATGTATTGGCTATACCACAGAACGAATAGGTAAAACAAAAATTGCCTTTAAATAATCTTTATATTTTCAGATGAAATCTTAAGAAAATGTCAACGACTCATCTGACTATATTAGCTAAAGGGTAGGTAAACAGTGACAGATATCACTTAAATCAAAAATTTCTGATTATACTTTATGAATTAACATTATTACGCCAAACTATAGTAAATTGTTTGTAAGAATAGGATTAAAATCGTAAATCTTAAAACTGAAGAGCTGCTGAGTAGAACAAAAATGTTTTTGGTTTTCTAATTAGTAACCGGATAAGTTTTCTTATCTCATTCTGGTGTATACAATCATGAATCCGTTTTTAAAATTGTTATTTAGTACCCGACAAATACAAATTAGCCAATTTCTTTTTTAAAATTTTTTCTCAAATTCTTGCATCCAAACATAATGAAAAGTATAATATCAGTTCACCATTTTAAATGCGTGTTTGAGAGCAAAACGTATTTTGTTGTCATTTTGTCACTGGTATCCGGGTTCTTGGATATGCATTATGCATGGATTCAGAGATTCCTAAGCAATACTGGGATTGGGATTTATGGATCTGAATACTTTAGCGGATCCAATGGATTCTAAGCTCTGCTAGAAAATGAGGATCATAGCTTACACCACCGATCACCGCACTGCTTTATTAAAATATATTGCAGGGGTTGGAGTCAGGTTATAAGAAGAATAAAGCCTCTCTGTACACATATCAGGAACGTTGAATTCAATTTTATTATTGATTAGATTTTTTTAAAACCTGTAACTGTTCTGAAACTTAAGAAATACCTAAAACAAATCAAAAATTTTCTTTTAATTTTCTAACAAAAAAGTTAATTCAAACTTTTAATCTTTAAAGTGTATAAACATAAGTTTTTGCATTTGAACTCAAAAATATGTATTTTAATTGCTTTAGTTATTAATTTTGCTTTTTGTTAAAATATAAACAAAAATTATTAATTAAACTTATTTTTATCTGAAATATTCAACTTATTAATTTTATCTGAAATATTTTTTTTAAATTGAATAATTTTGTTCAGAGGATCGGCTCCACACGGAACCAAGGTTTATCTCACCTTCAACCCTTCTCTGCATTCACAACTTAACAATAAGTAAGTACATGGGCTTACTAGTTTCTTGATTGATTGATTGATTAAAATATATTTCTATGAGCCATAAGGCGGGCTCTTTCAAAAATAACATATGCAACTGTCTATTTTCTTCAGTTGTCATCACTCTTTACTATAATAGGAATTATGGAATCATAATATGGGTAAAATGATAATTTGTGAGTTCATTTTATTTTACCAGGCTCTAACATTAAAGTTACCTACAAGAAAATACATTTTTATCAAGAAAACTTATTGTTTAATAATTATGTTGTAGTTTAACGATTACGATTATGTTATTATTTTACAAAGTAAATATTCACTTTTAATGTTTTATATCCTGCATTCTTTGGACAAGTTAACAAACTCATTAAAAGACAAATTTCTAAAATTTTCTTACTGCTGTGCTCGGCCCCCTTAGCATGTTCTAGTTGGTTTTCTTTTACCACCCTGGACTAACCAGGGCGTAATGCATTTAGTTTTGTCTATTTAATTCAATCGGGTTTTGACCTGTGATTCAACAATCTTTACGGATTTGGCTTTTTTCTACTTTTTCATCTGAAAGGTATTTGCCGACAATTATAAAGAGAAAAGGCGAAAAATTTATTTTTAATAAGTCAAATTGTGATCGAAAGTCAAAGCTTGTTGGGATAAGAACCAAACTGTTAAATCCGTGTGGTACATGTCTTCTATTTACTAAATTGCATGTTTAGATCAGTTGCTGGTTGGGGGAATGTCTGCTCCTCTATATATTCTCAACTAGGAACTAAACAGGATATATATATCAGATTCTTAGACCAGGACCAGGTAGATACAGTGATCCCCAAATTAATGTTGAAATTGAATTAAGAAAATCCGGAATTTTGGTGATTTTTATTCTTTCAAATTTTTTTAATATTTTGAATTTTTGAGATAGGTAAAATATCTTTGTTTTATTATAAGGAAAATACGCATACAAACACGTGTATTATTAAAATATGTTGATTTCTTAATTTAATTCCGCGCATTTTCTCCAAAACGACTCATCTGATTTGTTTTTCTACTCGTCTAATTTTGTGTAAAAAATAGGTTCGCGGAGTTTTTAAAGGGCTCATCAGAATGCATATAAAAATATTTTTAAATTTCATTCATATTTGTTAAAAATGAGATTGCCAAAAAAATGCTTCTATAAAATGCAAGACCTGTTATTCAGTCTTTTTTTTTGACTAACCCGATAAATATCTGTTGGCCAATGCCTAGTATAACAAATTTCTCAACTCAGATAAAAAAATCCCAATGAGGTGTATATATAATTGAGAGTATGTTTTTGGGAGAAGTTCATAATAATGCTTTCTCTAATGCTTCCAAAATCATTTATAATTTGTTATATTTTAGTTCAAATAGATGACCCTCTTTTTAGGGAAATGCTAAAGCTATTGATATTGAAACTCTGACCGAAGACGACATTAAGACAGATAAAGAACCAACAAGCACAGACAGGTGACAACATGATAATTATTTACACCCTCAAGTCTCTTGAGAAATACATCAGACATAATCAGTTTTTGGATTTTTTGAAATATTTAGTTATTTTCCAGTAGGTTGACCAACTTTTAAATAAAGTCAATTAAGGTCTTAGTTACATGCATGAAAAGTTCTAAAGTTTTATCATGTCGTTGTGGTTGGTTTTACGATGTACTATCGTCTAATTAAATCTTAAATCTTTTTCTAAAAATAAATGATTTTAACAGGTTGTACACAAATGTTTGCCTCGGGGGCACCTTTGACAGACTTCATGCTGGTAAACATTTTATTTATAACTAGTTAAAGTTCCCGGCGTTTTCCGGGGATTTTTTTGAAAGTGAATTTTAAAGAGACAAATTTTGATTTTTGAATAAAAGATATTGATTTTGTATTAAAAATAATTTTTGAAGTAAAAAATTTAATTTTTGGAAAAAATCGATATTTTTAAGCCTATGTTACTCCTGGGGGTACTTTAGGTTCCCTCAAAAAAATGTCTGCCCATCCGGTCCAGCCGTTCGGCCAGTTATAACTGACATATATACAAACAAATATCTATAAGCGAAGAGCTTTTATTATATAGAATATAATACAAATCTTAACTGTTTGTTTTGTAAATAGAATAATTATTTACATATAATAAATGTTTATTTTCCAACGATTTGCTTTGTAACAACAAATGTACATAAGATTGTTAAACTGTCGTCTTCCTATTCCTCAGTTTCATGGGTCCCACTGTACAGGTCACAAGATTCTACTGACTACTGCTCTTCTACGCTGTACAGGCTGTTTGACTGTAGGAGTCACCAGTCCTTCTTTACTAGGTGCTCATTCATTTATTTATTAATTTATTCATTAATCCATTCATTTATGTAGTCACTCATTCATCCTTTAATTTAGTCACTCATTAATTTATTTAGTCACTGATTCATTTATTTAGTCACTGATTCATTTATTTAGTCACTCATTCATTTATTTAGTCAGTCAGTCATTCATTTATTTATTTATTCATTCACAATTTTTTTATCAAAACAGACATTTATTTTCTTCACTTTCATTACTTGGGTTTTTTTTGATTTTATTTGATTTTCTTAATCATTTTTTATTATTTTTTTCCAACTTATTTCCAATATTCATTAATTTTTCTATCAATCTATTGATTTATCCCTTCGTTAATTTTTCTTCCATTTTTTCAACTAAATGTGTAAAATTCGTTTTTTATTCACATTTATTCACGTTTAAAGTTTATTTTTCTATTAACTTCCTACAATTTATCATCTACCTTTATCTTTGTCACATTAATGAAACATTTTTTATATATTTTCAATAGTGTTTTTTTCAAAAATGTTTTTATTTATGTTAGGGCGGAAGACCCTGTGTGAACTAATAGAACCATTGGAGAAAAGAATTTCAGTTGTCAAAGAGTTCATACAAACTGTAAACAGGTAAACAGCTGATTTTAAGCAAGTCAACAGCTGATTGTAAATAGTTAAACAGCTGATTGTAAATAATTAAACAGCTGATTGTTAACAGAGTTAACAGGTAAATAGTTGATTGTAAACATGTTAACGCTCATTTGTTAACAGATAAACAGCTGATTGTAAACAGATAAACAGCTGATTGTAAGCAGATAAACAGCTGATTGTTAACAGATAAACAGCTGAATGTAAACAGATAAACAGCTGATTGTAAACAGACAAACAGCTGATTGTTAACAGATAAACAGCTGATTGTAAACAGATAAACAGCTGATTGTAAACAGATAAACAGCTGATTGTAAACAGATAAACAGCTGATTGTAAACAGAAAAACAGCTGATTGTTAAAAGATAAATAGCTGATTGTTAACAGATAAACAGCTGATTGTAAAGTGTTGATTAGGCGATTTTATAAAATGAAATATATGATTTAAGTGGAAAGACATAAAAGTGAAACTCCAGATTACTTAATTAAGTACGTAAATCATTTCAGTTCTGTAAAGATGAGTTTGAATTTTTGTTAATAAATAATTTCGTACATAGTTTACTTTACATTCTGCTTCAAATCATTTATATTTTATTGTTTTGGTTTCGCTTAGATACCATTTTTGGGAATAAAAAGCGATTCTTAAACTGGATATTTTTTTCTCACTAAATATGCTCAACATTTTTCACATGATCATATTAACTGTTCTTGAAAATGTTTAAGGTTTTAGACTTTTTAACACAGTTTGGCAAAATGTTCCATGGGTTTATCATTTACAAAACATTTCGCAATGTATTAATTCACCTTTGTTTATTGCCTAGGAATATTTCCCACAACGTTGTTGAGATAACCGATCCTTTTGGACCAGCCATAGTTGATCCTGATATAGGTATTGTTTTAGAAAATAATTAAACAACAATTATTTACTTAAACAGTAAAATTGTGAAATCTCAAGTTTTTGTTCAAATATTAATCACTTTATTTTTAACAATAAAATCTTAACGAAATTAAAACTTGTTATTTAGTCAGAATTTGTAAAACAAATGCAGCTCATGAAATTTAGCTGGATTTCTTATAGAATATTGGAAATAAGACTAATAATCTGTAGTAAACAAACCATACATCGAATACTGATATTATTTTATTTTTATTTTTACACTCTGATGCTGACTTCCTATTGTTGTAGAGTGTATAGTTGGTAGTACTGAGACGGAGAAGGGTTGTTTAGCTATCAATGAGAAAAGAAAAGAGAAGGAATTGAAACCTCTAGATATTCATATTATTGATCTAGTACAAGATGACAACAGGATCATAAATTTTGATATTATTATTATTATTTATTTTTATTTTTTTTTATTATAAAATTAGCCTAAAATGATTGAAGATGCATGTCCAAGAAGAAGTTGGAAAACAAGAAATATAGAAATGTCAATGGTTTCTCACAAAAATATGAGTGTTAGCAGACGTGCGAGCACCCAATATATTTGCATTTACTATCATCTACCTATTTATAAAATATAAATATAAAATTATTGAAAAAAGATTTAGATAAAAAAATTGGAATATTTTCAAGATTTGTGATATTGTAGAGAAGAAGTTCATGAGGAGGAGAAAATAAGTTCTAGTTCAGCTAGAACCAGGGTTTTAGGAACTATAATTTATCAGCTCAAAATAAAAATAAAATAAAAAAACATTTCTAGATATGCTCATTCTATCTTCAGACGTTTGTGTTTGGGCACACTTTCTGAGACAAAAAAAATAAAATGAAAAATGAAAAGAAGGAACTGAAAAATGAAAGAAAAAAAGAGGAGAAATTTAAAGAAAAATTTAGTTCTTTCTGAAATACTTTATTTGGAAATTTTTATTATTAAATAATTGGTTTAAATTTTTCTTTTGTCTTTGAGAAGATTACCCTTTTTCCCTTCTTTTCCTAGATAAGTTATTCTAATGAACCATCGTTTAGCAAAAAGTAACACGGATACCAATTTAAATTAAATACAAAATATGGTCAGGTTTAGGAGAAGCTGCTTGTACTAATCCTCAAGCTAGCTTGCAAGGGGAGTATTTTTCGATTTTTAGTTTGGAGAAAACTGAAGAATTTCATTCTTATTTTCTTGACATTGCATTAGAATAAATATTGCATAACTATTCGTGTTTCAAAAATGTTCAGTAGTAAATTTATCTATAGTTAAACTCAAATATCTACATCTTAAATACCTCCAGCTTCTTTTTTTTTGGATGCAAATAGCTTCTCAATAGCGCTTAAGAGAAAGAAAACAGGCAAAATATCTATCTTGGGAAGGATCTGGTAAAAAATTGAATTAAATGGGGTCTTGGTATTCATACATTTTTCTCAAAATATTGTACTGAAATCTTGTTAAAAAAAAAAATGATAAATATTGTAAACAGGACGGCGATTAAGAAGTTCCCTTCAACCCTGGGACAGGTCAAAAGGTACATTGCGTACAGGTTGTCCCAAATTAGATAAAATTAAGATAATATGACAGATATTTCTACAACTTAGATATAGTTTCAAAAAAGAAATCTGTGCAAATTCCTAAATATCTTCTTTGATTTTGGAAGTTGTTAGCCAACCACATTTTGGAAATCCCAAAATTCTTGTTAACTCTTGATAATATTGTGACCCAAGTAGAAGTGCCGCATACATTAACAAGTTGAAAACAAATATTATTGGGATCATTGATGGGAATTCACAATTGAATAGTAGCTAAATATTAGATGGACACTTTATTCATGATATTTATTGTGTTTTTAATAAAATGTTGATTTGTTTAGGTCCGTACATTATTGGACTTACGGGGGGATCAGCTAGTGGGAAATCTAGTGTTGGGCGGAGACTGAAGGTTGGAAACATCTCTAAATAGTAAAAAAGATTTTTTATTGTTAAGAGACAAAAAATAAATTGTCCTGTCCAGCAGTTGAGATTATTATTGGTTATTTATAGTACTCGAGTGATGTCTTATCCAATATCATTGAACTGGGTCAGTCTTTCGACTCTGATCAATTGAAGTGTCACATTAGCTTGTTTACAAATCAGAAGCAAGTACGTTCAGAGGTTCGGAAAAAATTAATCAAAGCCCAGTTTTGGCTCCACAAGAAAATTTAAGTCATGGGATTATAAAAATAAGCCCAATCTGACCAAGACTAGGTTCTTCAACACGCCTGATACCTTCTCACCAAAACTGGACTTTAATTATTTATGTCTAGACCTCTGAACGCAAATGCTAAATAAAGTTTTATTTGCTCAAATCAGAAAAAAAAATTCTGGCACAACTATTTATAAAAAATACTCCTTCCATCCGCCTTTCCCCCTTAGTGGGGGGGGGGGGGTGTAATCCTTGAAAATAATCACCCCTAATTGCAAGGATATGGGAGCTGGTCTGGTGGATTGTGATAAACTAGGACACTCTGCTTACCTGCCGGGTTCTACAGCTTTGAAGAAAATAGTTGAAGAGTTCGGGGACCAGGTTCTAGCAGGTTTATAATTAATTTACTTATCTACGGTGTAAAATCAATACACCAGGCTTTAGACTTTTGTTGTGACCCTATCTATGTGCATCTTCTCTATGTACAATTTAAAGCAACAACAAATAAATTTACATATTAAATGATAAATTTTCATGGATTTTTAAAATTTAACAAAAATAAAAAACTTTTGGACACAATTTTTATAATTTGGAGCATCCATGAACTTTCCCTGGGGTTTATGTCCCACAAAAATTTTGGGCCGGATCGGTTCAGCCTTTTTGACAATTTTTGAATTCAAACGGACAGACAAACAGACAAAAAGACAGAGAGACAAGCAAAGTATTATTTACTACGCTTTCAGGAGTATTTCAATTGTGAAAATGTTCTCCTTGTATACATTGTAAAACTAAAACAAACAAAATACATCAAGGATTTTATTGCAAAATTTCGTTGATTTTCGATATTTTTATGAAAATCGAATTTTGTTTTAGGCCAATTTTTACAATTTTGATCATCCATGAACCTTTCTTGGGGTCATGTGAGGTCCCACACAAAATTTAGGCCCAAACGGTTCAGCCGTTATGATGTTTATTGGATTCAAACAGACAGACAGACAAACAGACTAGAAAAGTATTGGGGGGGGGGGGGGTAATTGATATTTTCTTTTCTAAGTCAGATAATCACTTAGAGAATACACCATGATCATTCCATTAAGAGTAGCAAAATAATCCATTTAAATAATGGAACATGAAATAATCTTTTTGTATTTTTCTACTTGACAATAATACTATTGATATTTGTTAGAAGATGGAACAATAAACAGACGGGTTCTTGGGGGCATTGTTTTCAGTGACAGGAAAGAAATCTAAAGAGCTTAATGAATTCTCAATCTGAACCGTTTTCTAACTTTTAATTTATGGTATTCATTTAAAGAAAGAGATGGAAACAACAACAACGGATTTAAACCAGGGATTCTTTATGAGTCTTAAGTTATGATTAATAAATAACCTTTTTTTAACATTTGATCCACTGTAAAGTAGAACCAATTAATTGATCTATATTATGGTATCTCTTCATTTTTGGGATTTTTACCTTCTTGTTTTAATTATTTTCTGATAATCTAAGAATGATCTTTTCTATTTAACTTTTAAATTTTGGATTCGCTAGATCTAAGCTTGAAGTTCTAAACCAGATTGTGTGGCCTGAAATTGCTAGGATGGCTTTAGAGCAGGCGAAACAGGTGAATAAGGGAATATATTTACCCAAGAAATTATTCCCCGCCCCATCTCCTCCCACATGGTTAAACTTCCCCCATTTATTTTCAAATATTCATTTTATTTCTGTCAACTGCAACTTTTTTGGGGAAAAAAGCAATTTCAGGGGAAATTATTTCCTAAACTAACTCTTGGCCCATTTCTAACACTGAGTGTTAGAAATGGGCCAAGTCTGTAAAGTTATCTTTCATAAACATATATATATATAAACTGAAATATATATATGTATATATGAAGCTGGTGGACTGCTTTTGTAGCCGCTTAACACGGGCTACACTGTTGTAGTTAACGGTGACAAGAAGTTGGGACAGAGAATAGATTCAATACCTATTTTGTGACCAATTTCGAAGAGCCAGCCTAAATTTGTCTTATGTCTTATGTCTTATCTTTAAATCCAAGCCATGTTGAACAAAACTACACCATACTATTATAAAAAATGGCTAAAACTATTTATTGAAACAAATAATGTAATCTTTAAACTTTAAGAACTAAATGTTTATTGGTGATATTTACACATTACAGATTCATCAAACATGAATTTTTAATATACATAGATTATAATTATTAGTGGTGAAGGGAATATAATTTTTTGATTTTCTTAGTTTAGAACATTATTTTAAACAGATGTGTTTAGATTTAGTTTGTGGTCAGGCAGGGTTATAATCATAATTAAATTTTCACATTTTGAACAAACAGAAAAGTTCACAAGGTGCTCATTAATCTCTTTAAGAAGGTTGATTTAGGGTTGGTTTCTTATGCAACACAGGCACATTTTGTATTGCAGATTGTCTTAGATCTGTAGATTGGAGACCAAGATTACTGTCCATCACATTTAGCACATAAACTACTCCTGTCCTCCTTCTCAATCCTTATTATGTCTGTGTTCATGTCTAAGTCCAAGGATATTGCCAAGTTGTGTCCCAGTTGTACCTACACTTCCCCCCTCTCCAGCAGGAACAGGTAGCACTGCTAAGCAAGTTCCTCCTGGGGTACTGATTATCTCTCCTGGATTTTGAGTTTCTTCCTCAGCTCTAGTATTGTTTTCCTTCTTGGTACTACAAGGTGTACTGCACAAGGTTTCCTTACTGCAGGGATCAGTAAAGGTTGTATTGTATGTATGTTTAACCTGTTGATCTAACCTGACAAAACCTGGCTGGATTTAGGATTCTGATTCAGCTGTAGAATTCAACCAGGCCTTTGCAGGGGTAGATATTTTTCCTGTGCCAATGGAGTAAAATTCAAACTCTTGTAAAATCTTCTGTGCCAGTCATTGCAGTTGCATCTTGGAAGTTTTCTCATGTAGACATCGATATTTTGGGACCCCTGCTGTCTTACCAAAACTACTCATACATCTTAACAATGATTGAAAGGACTACTCGATGTCCAGAAGCTGTTCCTTTATTCTCCATCTCAATAGAAGTTTGTGTCAGAGCTTTCATCTCTACTTTAATCTCAAGGTTTGGAGTTCCAGCTACTTTGACGTCCGACAGGGGGCACAATTCATGTCATCCATCGGGTCCGAAGTATGCCGTGTCCTCGGAATTGCAACCTCTCAGACTACAAGTATTCATCCTTTTCAGCTCCAAGTTTCTTAGTAAGATGGAAAAAGCAATAGCATGTTTCTCTATTCCTTGACCTCATCATGTGATTCATTCACAGTTTGTGTTTATTCGTGAAGATGCTAGCAAACATTCCATTGCTCCTCTATACCGTAGTCCTTACCTGGATGTTGAACAGCGGAGCAAGTTTTTCGGCCTACAGATTGGAACCAGAGTGGACTCCGTATCCTGTGATTTCTGTTCTCCAGTAACTCAAGCTGCACCTCCGCTCCGATGATGCCTGCCTCTCCACCCCAGCAGAAGACCTCCGGAACCTGCCTCCGCCATAAAGTCTTCCTATTTTAAGAAGTAGAAATCTGTGAGGTTCCTTGCTAAACCTGATGTAATTCGTAGACGGAACTTCTACAGACAAGTACAAGATAGAAGATCCTGCTCCGCCTTGACTCCATCGTACCTTCTAAGGGAGTATTGTTGCGGAGGACGATCCCTGTGTTTTAGTGAGAACAGAACGTGGTGGAGAGATATTAGCAATTCAGCTTAAAGAATAGTTTCCATGTTCTCGATAAATATCTAGATTTTTTAAAGTTTTTTAATAAATTATAGATGTTGAACTTTGTCGTTATTTGAGCGTAACTGAAGTAATATCTAATACTCAGCGTTAGAATTGGACCAAGTGTTAGCTTTTGAACTGATGTCCCCTGAATTTCATGTAATTCCTAACTTAAGCCACAACCCTAAAACAAAAATATTTTTCGGGCGCTTTTTTTCTACAACATGCAACTTTTTTTAATTTTGTTCAAAAGAGATTTAAAGTCTCTTTTGTGATTCGTTTATGACACTGTAAAAAATGAGTCCCTGAAATTGTGTAAATAGTCTTTTTTTATCAAAATTTTGATTAGGATTGGGAGGCTGGTCATGAGGTTGTAGTGCTAGATGCTGCTGTACTTCTTGAAGCAGGCTGGAATTCATACTGCCATGAGATATGGGTCTGCCTCATACCTAGGTATACGTCAATCACTTCAGGGTAATATATATTTCTCTGGAAAATCATTTTACCGGGAAATTCTTTGAATTTTTTAGGTGCAAGTTTTTTTTTAAATTCTTAAGTTAAACTTTTGAGGAAAAAAAATCTTAATTTTTCGGGAAACACATTATGCATAACGGCAAAATAGCCTTGCAAGTTGTTATAGTCCCAAGGTAAAATTTTTTTACTTATTCTGACCTACAGCAAAATTTGATCTGTGATGTGAAGAATACATTTCCAAAGATGATCTGTGGGATTATTTTTAGGTTTGTGTTGGTACATTTCTCCTTCTCATTGTTTTCGGTATTTTTTGTAGAAAATAAATAACAAGTTTTTTTTCAAGGGATGAAGCTGTTTCCCGAATAGTTTTACGGGATGGTAAAACCGCTGAGGAGGCTGAAAAGCGAGTTGACAGCCAGTGGTCCAACCAGGAGAGGTGCAAGGTGGAAAACAATTTTTACATTTTCGAATTTTGATTCTGAAAAATTTTCTGAAGATTACTTGATTTAATCATTTTTAATTTTAAATCAATATTGTGAAATTGTCAGGAAATAAATATTTTATTTTTTGGTTCAGAAATAGTTTAACCAGTGATAAACATCACGTAAATCTTGAAAGTGAAGGATTTAAGTTTAATTTCAAATCAAACCATTAATCCAGGTTTTTTAAATTTTATTTATCTATACTTCTTTAACTTATATTAGGAACCTAATTTAAAGAATTTGAGTCAACTGCCTACCGCTGGTTCAAATTTGAACAGCCGATTCAAATCCTTCCTCAATCTTTAGTTTTGAATCAGTGTTTCAAATTTGAACCAGCAGTAGGTAGTTTAGCGACGTAGCTCAAATGCTTAAAATTCGGTCTCAGCTTATTTATTCCGGAAATTGTTTGAATATATTTCCTGTTTTAGGTAGCCCACACTGTGTTTTGTACTCTTTGGGATCAGGAAGTAACACAGAGACAGGTAACAACATTTTATTAATTTATTCAAAATCATGATTTCATAAAACGAGGCCTGAACGGGGCCTGAACAGGGCCTGAACTGGGCCAATTTTTAACTGAAGTTCTGCGGTTTTATCCGATATAAGGCCGAATTCAACGAATTTGTACATCATCAGACGCGGTTCAAACTTGGTTTGTTCAACATAAAATTTAAATCAGTGTTTCAAGATTTGAGCTAGTGCGCAATTTGAACCAGAGATTGGCCGTTCAGAGACTCGGTTCAAATTTATTAAACTCGGCCTCTGAACTTTATGGAAAAAGTATTGAAAAAATAACCCCCCCCCCCTCCCAAAAAAACTGTTAGGAGAAATTAATATCTATGATTTTAGTCAAATTAGAAGAAATATTGTTTAGGTGGAGCTTGCATGGAATAGACTGCGTGAAGAGCTTGAATTATCAAGCTAGAGCTAGAGCAGAATATATTGTAAAATCAGTGTATCTTATCATGACCCAGGGTTATGGGTTTAGAATCCGATATTATTGTTATTATTAATGTTAGCATCATTGGCAAAGTTATTGGTCAGTTGTGTTGTATATCATTTTACTCTATTTTATTTTATTTTACATAGACATGTTTTAAAGTAAATTTTATTTTGATTAACATTAATTATTGATTTATTTTGTTATTATTATTATTGTAATATTTCCAAAAGCTTAGAATATCATGAATTCCTTGATAAAGTCCAAATAAGTTCATTGATTTACAATCTACATGTTTCCATAAGATTGAATTGAAAAGGCATCCATAGTCTTCCTTAACTCATAATGAATAATTTTGTAATCATAACATTTTTATTCTGGAATGTGCCTTTCCTTCATGCTGCCAAATGAAATGACTTGTGTTTTCATGATCACTTGATAAACTGGAAAGTGTTATCAATATTTCCAGATAAAATGAGTACTTTAGAGGCACCTGCCCCGGAACACTGTCCTGGAACCGGAACTGAACTATCAGGGAAAGTTGACGCATGTCAGGTAGACTTCCTCTTTCTTCCTCCTCTTTCTTCCCGTCTAATGACCTTTTCCTTCTTTAGTTAGAACTATATCTTATTTTCCCCCTTCTTCGTATCTTTTCCGTCTTTACCTAGAACTTTTTCTTCTTGTTCCTCTCCTTCTTATCTTTTCTTTCTTTAGCTAAAACTATAGCTTCTTCTTTCCCCCCTTCTTTCAATCTTTTCTTTTTTCAGCTAGAACTATATCTTCTTCTTTCCCCTCTTATTCTTATCTTTTCCTTCTTTGCCTAAAACTCTTCTTCTTTCCCCTCTTATTCTTATCTTTTCCTTTTTTAGCTAAAACCATTTCTTCCTCAAGTCTTCTTATTTTTTCCTTCTTTACCTAAAACTATTTCTTCTTCTTTCTCCCCTTCTTCTAATCTTTTTCGTCTACAGTTAGAATTATATCTTCTTCTTTCATCCTCCTCTTTTTCTTTTCTTCTTATCTTTTCCGTCTACAGTTAGAACTGTATCTTCTTCTTTCATCCTCCTCTTTCTCCCCTTATTCTAATCTTTTCCTTTTTTAGCTAAAACTATTTCTTTTTCTTTCTCCCCTTCTTCTAATCTATTCCTTTTTTAGCTAGAACTCATTCTTTTTCTGTCTCCCCTTCTTCGTATCTTTTTCCTTTTTTAGCTAGAACTTTTCTTTCTCCCCTTCTTTTAAATCTGTTAGGGTTGTCCAATTATTAATATTTTAATCTGTTAATGGATGTCCTAACCAATTTAATCTGTTTAACAATATCCAAATCTAAATATAATTTGTTCAATGATTTCCAAATCTCAATATATATTCTGTTTACGGATGTCCAAAGCAAAATAGTTTAATCTGTTAAGAGATGTTCAAACCAAAATATTTAAATCTGTTTGGATGTTAAAAACATAATATTTAAATCTGTTAGGGATGTCCAAATCTTAATATTTAAAAAAATATTTTTAATTGTTAAACAATATCCAAATCTAAACATATAATATGTTTAGGGATGTCCAAATCAAAATAAGTAATTCAGTTTAGGGATGCCCATTGTCAAAAAAAAACTATTTTTCAACTGTTTAGAGATGTTATTGTCTAAACTAAAATATTTAAATCTTCTTAAGGATGTCCAAATCTGAACAGTAAAATCTTTTTAGGGATGTTCAAATCTAAATATATACCCTGTCAAGTGTTTAGGGATGTCCAAATCTACATTTTAATCTATTTAGGGATGTCCAAATCAAAATATCTGTGCTTCAGCTGGCCCGGCAGTCCCTGATCCTGATATTGCAACTATTGCAGGAATGATAAATGTCCTATAAACATTAGAAAATTAAAATTTTTTCACAGTTATTATTATTTTTTTCACATTTTTTATGTTACAGAGAGGTTAGCAGATGTCAAGCACAAGGTATGATTTAGTTTGTCTAGAAAAAATCAAGTTTATGAAGGGTTTTCTACAAAAATATATCGTCAATTGAACATTTATTGAAGTTTATTTAATCCATTTCATTTTTCTTTTCCCATTATTTTTTTACTGACTGTGAGAAGCAGACAACTGTGGAATAGGAAGACGACTTTTAGACCCAAGATATGATTTTAAAAAGTCCTTTAGCATGAGAAACAGCAATTGTGAAATGCTCAAAGACTATTACACTTAATAATGTTAAAGGTACTGGTAAAAATTTTTGCGTTATAGCAACATCAAATACACTTAAAATACTGCCTAAATGTCGTTTTTGTGCATATTTCAGTGTATTCTCAATTTAATTCTCAGCGTCGGAACGAACAATAGAAATGCATAACTATTTAACCAATATATTGTTTATATGCCACCCCATACACAGAAATCTAGTCTTTAGTTTAGAGTTTATTTCTTGATCATCATTAAGCTGTGAAGCTGAAAATATAAACGCAATTAGCCTGATATATTTATAAATTGTGATGAATGGTAAAATGTTGTGACCAGAGAATGTTATTTGACAGAATACATTAAAATCCAATATTTCGAGATGTGATCTCTGGTGAAATGTTTCGACGAGATTAAAGGATTTGAAGAATATATGAGAACTTTATAAAAGCTTAAAATATCTGTTTCAAGAAGGCAAATGAGAATATTTTACGGAATACAATGGTGTCACAAGCTTTCTAATATAAATCTCACGGTTGTAGTTGGGGCTTCACGGCTTCGGCTACTTCCACTCGGGCATAACAGTATCATTGCACATGTCATGCTAACTCTGTAACCCAAGTACTCCTAAGGGAGGCGGAGGGTTGCCGGGAGGGGTGGTTTCCTGGTAACATTTGTGTTATTGGGATGTCCTAATAGATAGATAGATAGATGGCGGTTTGGTTTTCTCACACGCTGATCCAAATGTCTTCTGTTGAGGTTTTATCAGGTTTCAAGTTCTCCGTGTGTCAGTATTATTTCTCCTGCGAATGTAAAGAACTATAAGCAACTAGTTCTCATTGTGGATATTACAGAGTTGATGTAGATTAGGTTTATTAGATAATTACAGGTCGTTGAACTTTGTCTGTAGGTTGACAATAATAATAATAATAGTAATAAGTGTGTCCTGGCTGGGAACATTGCGTAATGCAATTCTTCCTTGATTCCGTAGGATGAATGCACGTAGATCAGAATACTCATTCTGGAATTTACCTAGATACAATCTCTCAAGAGCGACAGAAGTACATAGTACAGAAACAAAACGTACGGTCGTCCTCAGATTCTTTCCGCCTGGGAGGTTTTCCAGACTTAGCTGTGTATTGTAGATCACCGTGAGGTCCCTCTAGATCACTGTGAGATCTTTGTTAAAGCTGAATGGGAGCAGGAGGTTGAATATATGATGTAGGATAAAGTTGTAGGAAGCTCTGGTAAGGATATCTCGTATCAGTCCTGTTCCACATCTGCTTATGTTTGTGAGACAAACCTAGCCTCTTTGAAGTCCGGGTTATATTGATCACTCTTGATGATCAACTGGATCAAAAAAACTTAAATGTCATTTGAATTAACGCATGGTTTTAGATTATTTATCATCCTGCATATATAGTTCTTGGTTGAATCACATTGGTTCAGCCGCCTTATTTCAGGCTGTAGTTTATCCTGCATAGATAGTTCTTGGTTGGATCACATTGGTTCAGCCTTCTTCTTTCAGGCTGTAGTTTATCCTGCATAGATAGTTCTTGGTTGGATCACATTGGTTCAGCCGCCTTATTTCAGGCTGTAGTTTATCCTGCATAAATAGTTCTTGGTTGGATCACATTGGTTCAGCCTTGCTTCTTTCAGGATGTAGTTTATCCTGCATATTTAGCTACGCTCGGAAGGATAAACGCCGGGTTTAAATAAATACTTTATTACTGACTAAATTTACTTTATCAATTTAAGAAATAAAAATAATATGTCTATTCATGGTGACGTGGCAGATCTGAGTTCTTCTTGCCGCGTCTCTCTATCCGGTTTAAACTTGGATCGTCTTCCGCCACACATAGATAGTTCTTGTTTGGATCACATTGGTTCAGCCTTCTTCTTTCAGGCTGTAGTTTATCCTGCAGATAGTTCTTGGTTGGAACACACTGGTTCAGCCTTCTTCTTTCAGGCTGTAGTTTATCCTGCATAGATAGTTCTTGGTTGGATCACACTGGTTCAGCCTTCTTTCAGGCTGTAGTTTATCCTAAAATAATAAACAGTCTTACTAGTCCACAGCTGTATCTTATTTTTCTGCTTGCTTCTTCAGCTGGGAGAAATTAGTAATGCGTGCATTTCTGGCGGAATATTTTCTTCTGTTTAAGATTCTTCTCCATGTTTTACTTGTTTTTCTACAGGTTCTGGTGTTATCTGGTAAGGGTGGGGTTGGAAAATCCACTGTGACAGCAAACCTAGCGAGATGTTTAGCCACTAAACCAGATCTTAACATTGGTATATTAGGTTGGTATTGTTTAATCATAATGTTTTTCTACATTTTTATATTTTTTCATTTTAAGTAAACGTTTTCTTTAACGGCGAATGTTATAGCTTTGGAAAAAATCTGAAAATGGACAAAATTATTTTTATAAAATAAGACTTTTCAACAGTGCGATATTATTAATAATTTATAAATTTAAACATTGAAACTAATGAAATTCTATATATATATAAAGATATCAGTATATGTATTGTTTTTGTTTGACCTTTTTTCCATTCTTATGTTTGTTTTTACAAAAACAGAAGAAAATAACTTCTACAACTTTTTGATAAAGTTAAAAAAATTAGTCTACAGAATAGTTAAGAAATACATCCACGGAAAATAATGTATTTTAAAGGGAGTGTTCGCTAAAAATTGAAAGAGAAAATTGAATTTAAAATCGAATGGTTTAAATCTTTTTTTTCATCTAATCAGTTTGACAATAGTTTAATAAATTATGTTTTAATTACGATCAATTAAAATTCTTCAATTTTCTCATTTGTTCCGCAGTAGAGGAAAAAAAAGATTGATTCTATTTAATTCCAAATTCAGGTTCAACCTATACCCCCTTTCATTGTTCGCGAACACTCTCTTGAAGTTTAAATTGTTAGATATTGATCTATGTGGTCCTAGCCAGCCCCGGATACTTGGTTGTGAGGGGGAGGGAGTTCATCAGTCTGGATCCGGTTGGTCGCCAATATTTATAGGAACCATACTCAATACTCATCCATTACTCATCCATACTCATTAATACTCATCCATACTCATCCATACTCGTCTATATTCGTCCATACTCGTCCATGCTCGTCCATACTCGTCCATACTCGTCCATACTCGTCCATACTCGTCCAAACTCATCCACGCTCATCTTTACTTATCCAAACTCATCCATACCCATCCTTACTTATCCAAACTCATCCTTACTTATCCATACTTATCCATACTTATCCGAACTCATCCATACTCATCCATACTCATCCACACTCATCCAAAGTCATCCATACTCATCCATACTCATTCATACTAATCCATTATCGTCCACACTCGTCCATAATCGTCCATACTCATCCATACTCATCCATTCTCATCCATACTCATCCATACTCATCCAAACTCATCCATACTCATCCATACTCATCCATACTCATCCATTCTCATCCATACTCATCCATACTCATCCAAACTCATCCATACTCATCCATACTCATCCATTCTCATCCATACTCATCCATACTCATCCATATTCGTCCTTACTCGTCCTTACTCGTCCATAATCGTCCATACTCGTCCATACTCGTCCATACTCATCCATACTCTTCCATACTCATCCATACTCGTCCATACTTATCCAGACTCATCCAAATTCATCCTTACTCATCCATAATCATCCAAACTCATCCATACTCATCCAAACTTATCCAAACTCATCCATACTCATCCATACTAATCCATACTTATCCATGCTCATCCATACTTTCCAAACTTATCCATACTCATCCAAATTCATCCATGCTCATCCATAGGATTCTAATATCCTTTTTCACTTCCCTTCACCCCTAACCTAACCTACTTTAAGATATGATACAATTTTAGGTCGTAAAATTCTTAGATCAGAAAACACTCCTTTAGATCGGATATGATGGTACCAGGATTCAGTATTTGTCTTACCACCTCTTAGACTAATCTCAGCTTTTTTTTTGCCATCATTTCTTACTGGTACATTATAAACCTATATTTTTGTTGATTTCCTTCACAATATTCAATTTTTTTTCAAATCAAAATTAAATCTTGATCGACAATTAACTTAAATTTTCTCTCAAGTCAGGTCATGTCCCGCAAAAAACTGACGCAAATAAACATATAACTAGCATAAGCGCCCAGCGATGTCCGAAAATAAAATAAAAAACTTGGGGGAAAAATTTCAAAAGAAATGATGTGAAACAAGATTAGATTATTTTTAACGGTGGTGAGAGAATCGCACTGGAATCCCTAAATTTCAATATTTGAATAAAAAAAGCATTGATAAAGAAATTTCTCCTTGAAAAATTCTAGCTAAAGCTGAGGGAAGAGCTTTATTATATAGATAAGTCAAGTTGAGTTTGGTTTGGTGAGTATAGATGATAATCTGAGTGTGATGTCTGCTGGTTTCCTTCTACCCTCTCCAGATGCTGCAGTTATATGGAGAGGTCCGAAGGTATCTATATCTACTTATATATAAAAAAAGTAATCTGTGTTTGATCGTTTGTTTGTATGTCCGATCATAACTCAGGAAATCCTTGACCGATTGGCCTTAAATACTGATTGGGAAACTCAGGAGAACCACGGGAATGTTCTTAGCTTAGCTATAATATAGCTAAAATCTTAATTTACAATAAAGTGCGGGTAAACGGCGCATAATTACCCTGGGCAACGCTGGAATCCCAAGCTAGTCTATCTATAATCTATATAGTATATATACTAAGTAGAATCTCTGCTTGTCTGTCTGATCCTAACTCAGGAACACCTCGATAGATTTATTTTAAATTTTGATTAGGAAACTCTTTTAAACCACGGGAATGTTCTTAGCCTGGTTTAAAAATATTGGAAAAATCAGTTTCATGAGTTATATGGAGGAAACTGGATTCCGTATATTTTCATGTTAGTTTCTTCTTTCTCAAATTCAATGTTATTTTTAGAAAAATGGTTTGATCAAACAGCTTCTTAGAGATGTGGATTGGGGTGGGTTAGATCTACTGTTGGTAGACACGCCTCCAGGTAAATAGTCAGCTGTCAGATTAAAGGGACTGTAAGCGTAATTACATGTGGCCCTCCATGTTAAGATCGCATGAACGATTCAAAACTATACTCTTAAAAGTTGATCAAGTATGAATTAAATATCAATATTTAAAATTTGGAAAATTGATCATTTTCAATTGTGGGTTCTCTACTAGAGGGACTTGCATGTACGATTCAAAACGGTGCTCTTAAAGCTTTGACTGATCAAGTATTAATTAGGTATCAATTTTTATAATTTTGAAAATTGATTATTTTCAACTAAGGGTTGACGACAAAAGTGACTTGGTCACTTGCGCAGAAAACTGTATAGCAATTATCAGAGATCAAATCAATTTTACTCAATGATGTTCAGAGTAATAGTTGTTTACTAGGTACAAGTGACGAGCATCTGTCTATTACTCAATATCTGTCAGCTTCTGGGATAGATGGAGCTGTCATTGTTACAACTCCACAGGAGATCAGTCTTCAGGTTAGAACTAATTTGTATTGTTTTTGTTGTTGTTATTGTTGGTTTTGTCAACTTAGATACTAGGTACTTTAACAAAGTTATTTTCCCTAGATGGAATTTCCCAAGAGTATTTTCCTAAGTCGCAAATTCCCAAATGTGAAATTTCCCAAATCTGACTTACCCGCTCGGCCTCTTAGTCCATCCGAGCAGGAGCGAACGGCCTCCTCCGAAGACCTAAAGTAACTTTAAATGAAAATTTGGGAAGTTGCCGCTCGAACAATTGTGACCTTGGGAAGTCGTCCTTGGGGAAAATGCCTTTTGGAAAGTACCTGTGTTTGGATTTGATTTTGTTATTATTTTATTTATAGCTTCAGAGCTTATTCTGTTTTTTGTAAAGTTTCTATTATTATTTTTTTTATTTTTCAGTACTATTTTTGTTTTTATTTTTTTTGTTTCTATTATTAAATATATATTATATTCAAGGATGTGAGAAAGGAAATCAACTTTTGTAAGAAAATTAATCTTCCTGTTCTCGGTAAGAACTTGTTTTTTGATTAATTGGATTTTTAATTTAAGATTTGTACAATAAGACGTAATAAGGAAATTCACATTAAAGCTGGCACGTTAAAAAACAGAAAACTTTTTAGGTTCAATATTGCTCTGAACTATGAACAAACCAACAGGAATTTACTGTAAAAAATATTTTCTTTTCATTTCACCAGTTGTAAAAAATATCTTGTACAAAATATTGTATGAATTAATTTCATTTATATAAATAAAATACTTAAATGTTGTTATTCTGCTGTTAATGAGGGGTTTCAGACGCAAACACTTTTTCTTCCATCCGAAGAAAGTTTGGCCAAATTTTCCTAAAAATTGTCTAAGATTACAATAGAAAATATATTTGTATTTTAATTATTAAAAACTAGCCTTAAAAAAACTATTGCTTTACATGCGGTATTATTTAGAGTAATAATGCGCAAAATTTGTATTATTCTTTTTATATTCACAACAACAGAATCACTGGAAAAATGTATTTTGTTTTAAGAATTCGATTTTCTGTTTTGGCATGCAGAAATATAAATCTTGAACTCTTACAGAAAAGTTATCCAGCTAAGACAAAGTTTTGCGCTATTGCATATCGGAAAAGTTAACCCTAGGATGAATTAATTGTATAATATTTGTTCAGGTATAATAGAGAACATGTCCTTGTTCACCTGCCCCAAGTGTAATGTTAGGAAAGAAACCTTAAATATAATTTTTTTATTATTTTCAATTGTTTCTTGAATCCATCGGATTTTTTATATCTAAAAAATAAAATTTAAAACGACTAATGATGAAATACCTTAAAGGGACTGTACAAGCAATATCTCAGAAGTTTGTGAGTCGGACATGCCACCCTTGCAATAGAGGGTCAAATAAACGGAGCCCATACAAAACATATCGTCACTTAACTTATCACCACACAAATTATCACCACAAAACATATCTTTTTTCAAAACTTATCAGCGACAAAACTTATCAAACTACAAAACTTATCAAACTACAAAAATTATCCAACAAGTCCGCGAATTTTAAGAGAAAATTCAGTAAGCTCTCAGTTTCCCAGCCCCTTTCTTGGCAGACATGGTTATGAAGGAGGATAGCTTGGGAGTTCCAGGACACCAAGATAAGAGTAAATCTAGATACAAGCGAAGGTCACAGAACAGAACGTATAAAAATGTTTTAAAAAATAAATTTTGTAGTTATTTTATAAGTTTTGAGTTTGATATGTTTTGATAGGTTGATAAGTTTTGTTGGTTGATAATTTTTGTAGTTCGATAAGTTTTGTGATGATAAGTTTTGTTTTGAAAAGTTTTGTTGTTAGATAAGTTTTGTTTTAATCAGTTGTGTGGTGATATGTTTTGTGGTGATATGTTTTGTGGTGATAAGTTTAGTGACGATATGTTTTATATGGGCTCCAAATAAACATGCGTCTACAGGTCCTTTCAGAAAGGGGGGGCCAATTGACAAGTTGTTCTCAGAAGTTTGTGAGTCGGACATGCCACCCTTGCAATAGAGGGTCAAATAAACATGCGTCTACAGGTCCTTTCAGAAAGGGGGGGCCAATTGTCAAGTTGTTCTCAAGAACACGCCAAATTCTGTAATACACAATGAAACATGTTTCCGTGGGTGAAAACTCAGTCTGCATTCAATTTAATTAGGCTAATGTCGAAACAATAATTTACATTTTCGACAAGAGTCACTGGGGGGGAGTAGTCCTTGCAATGTGCTTGCCAACCTGATTGCTTCACGTACAAGGGTGCTGGAACGTCGGAGAACGTGCCGGTCGCGGGGTGCAATTTCAAAAATTTATATTTTGCAACAAAAATTAAAAATAATGAATTTTAGAGAATTTGGTGTATTCTAGACTGCCTTGAAGGGAAATCAAAAATAACCACATGTTATAAAGAAAAAAAAAACTCCAGAAATGTAAAGACAATAAATTATGATGTTTAAAACTGATATTTGAGGAATCTGTTTCTTTAGTTCAGTAATACTACCCAGCAGTACAGGAGGCGCAGATAAATTAACAGCAGACACAGGAATCATGCATACAAACATACATTATATTTAAATGAAAAAAGTAAAAAAAAAAATTTGAAATGTTTAAAGTCTGTACTGTTGACATTTTATTTTCGGATTCTTTAAGTTGAGTCTTTAAGTTGAAATAAATGGAGTCTTTAAGTAGAAATAAATGGAGTCTTTAAGTAGAAATAAATGGAATACAAGTTAAACTTAAGGCATTTCCCCCAAAAGTCAGCTAATTTTCATAAAAGATTTTCTTAAAATTTTCTTAAAAGTCAGCTAATTCTCTTTAAAAGATTTTTAGTTCCAGAAAAGTCTATATTCAGCGAAAAAAAGTGCGTGGGGGGAAAGGATTATTGGGTGTGTGTGTGGGTGGGGGGGGGTAAGATTAAGAAAACATTTAAGTAATTTGTTTTAAGAGTAAAAGTAAGGTTAGATTATTATTATTGATTGTATTTTTAAGTGCATATAACATTTTGTTTTAACAAGATTAATTATTTCCAATTGTTTGTTGATAAAGGAGTCCCGCTGTTGGGTCGTCTACCCCTGGATCCTGTAGTTGGTAGAACCTGTGACGAGGGAACTAGTCTCTTCTCTGAGTATCCTAACTCTAGGGTAGCTGCAGAGTACAGGAATATCACCCAGTCTCTGGCAACCATCATCAAATTGTAACTTTCTGTGATATTTTTTATACATTTTATTTGTAGGGTAAAAACTTTTTTCAAGTTAAAAATGGCGACTTTAGAGAAGTTGGTGAGAACAGTGGAAGCTCTAAAACTTCATCAAACCCCCTCAATGTCATTTGATGAAACAATGACGTTAGTATTTAAATATTATATTCCTCCATCGAGATAAAAGAAACTTAATTTTTTTTATGTTTTAATGCTTTATTTTGTTGTACAAAAGGTTCATCAACTTTATTTGTAATGGTTCCAATAGATGTAATTTATAGAATGTACATGTCTGATTCTCGACGGTACTCAGAAAGGTTATGTCTGATCAAGACTCTATAATATTTTCATGTTTTTCTCTTCGAAATTGATTGTTTTAACCGTGGATTCTCTCTAAAATGAAATGCCGAATATTGCGTTAGACACAATGGACGAAATAGTTTTAGAATTAATACTTTCTTTCAAGATTCAAGAAAAAACGACTATTCAGACATTTTTTGAGGGAATCATGGATACCTGTTTCCGGGGTGACATAGGCTAGAAAAAAATATGGATTTTTTTTTAATTCCACAGGCAACCCAGGGCACAGCTAAAATCATGTACCTATATTTTTATATAATGATTACGCCATCATAAGCCAAAATGGTCAATGGTTATCAGTATCATTTGTAAAAATGGGACATTTAAAATTTGTGGATAAGTTAATTTTTAAGCTTCTGGTAAGACTGTCACAGCAACATCAAAAACACATGTTGTCCTTCTTTTCTATAGTTTTCTGGGCCCCACTGTATATATCCCTTATTTGTAAGAATATTGCTGGGTAAAAGAATCATTATTTAGGAAAAAAGAGAAGATCTCGCATTGTGCTTCTGTAACAGATGTCCTCTGCAACCAAGGAACTAAAAACAGTCCAGAATCCGCCAAATATTTGGCAATGGCGATGGATATGTACTTTACTCTGTTAGATGACCAAGGTGAGATTAAAAACAAAAACTGACTCGGATCAAATATTCATGGCTTTTTGTTTTCTTTAAGAACATGAAAATTGATCCAACCTGAAGTGGAAGTTAAAATCTAAGTTGGAAAAGGTTCCATGGATGGTTCCCTCTCTGAGCCCGAATTCAAAGAATTTGAGCCGCGGCTTGAATATGGTTGGTTCAACTTAAAATCGTATTAAAGTTTTCAAGATGTAAGCCGGCTCTCAATTGAAACCGGTTTTGGGGGGATTTGAGACGCGGCTTAAATTCATAAAATTCGGACACCGATCTCTTATTTCTTAATTACCATGTAAGAATAAGGTTTGTTTACATGTTATTGTGTGACGTATTAGGACTACCGAAAAATAAGATTATAAAAAAGGTGGAAGTTTCCCTTTAAATTTTCACAACTGCCGTTCATTTACAAAAAATCACGCCTTTCTTGAACAGTCGTAATACCTCACATGTCACAGTTTAATATAATACGCCCTGGCCCCCACCTCAGTTTTACTCATTCCCCACCTCAGTTTTACTCATCCCTAACCTCAGTTTTACTCATCCCCCACATCTGTTTTACTCATCCCCAACCTCAGTTTTACTCATCCCCCACATCAGTTTTACTCATCCCCCACCTCAGTTTTACTCATCCCCCATCTCAGTCTTACTCATCATCCCCCACCTCAGCTTTACTCATCTCCACCTCAGTTTTACTCATCCCCCACATCAGTTTTACTCATCCCCCACCTCAGTTTTACTCATCCCCCCCCATCAGTTTTACTCATCCCCCACCTCAGTTTTACTCCCCCACCTCAGTTTTACTCATCCCCCACCTCAGTTTTACTCATCCCTCACATCAGTTTTACTCATCCCCCACCTCAGTTTTACTCATCCCTCACCTTAGTTTTACTCATCCCTCACCTCAGTGTTACTCAATGCGGAACATAGTTTGTGATCCTTGGACCAATGATCGTAGATTTGTTACACACGGATCCATTAACCATAATATAAGCTTTTTGTGCGTACTGCAGTGAACTGCAGTACTCTGACCTATAGATAGCTCGGTGATTGATATCCTCTTAGAGTAACAACAATATCTGATAATTAGATTCTGATATGAGGATGGTTGCAGATGAAAATCTAAACAGAGTTATTCGAACACTAGGAGAAACTAATGTAACAAGAATACAGGTTGGGATTACAATGCATATCGTTCGGGTTTTTTATTCAATCGTTCATAAAAATTTATTTTGTTCATTCTCAAACTTATCGTTGATTTTCTTACTTTTCAATATATTTCGTTCGTTTTATCACTAAAATTGATCGTCCAGTAAAATTGTTCATTCAATGAAATCGTTCGTTAATTAAAAAACGGTCGTTTTTTTAATTTTGAAAAAGTCGATCGAGCAGTAAAAAACTGTTTTTTTTTTAAAGTTTATTCTAAAAAATCGTTTTTAGTTTTTAAAAAGCGACACTTTTTTCATTTCTCTGAACAATTTGTTTCGTTCGTCCATCATTAGTTTTTTTTTCCTGAACGACACCCTTTTTCAACAATAGTTTCGTTGCCCATCTCTACTCGTCGCCACATGATAACCTCCTAATTAACTGATTGTGCATTAGGTTGAATTGTACAAGGAGATAAAGAAGAACGGTAGTTCTAGATGTGTACGAGCTGCACTTTGGAGATTTTCTTATCTTGCTCCTCATATTCGACCAGCCAAATCCAGGTATTGGAAATTAATTTGTTCATATTTGGCCTTTCATTGAATACTAAAAACATTCAAAGTCGGATATGATTCACTAACCCAAGCTGACTTGAAGAAGTGATGAGGAGCTCCAGCCTGGAGATCAACGTAACCTCTGCCTACTGAACATATGATGCATAATGTTAAATCAAAGCTAATATATTTTTTAATTGTTATCATTAAATCTCACTATTTACAAATTATAAATGGTTCTTGCTCCAGTCAGTTCTTCTGAATCCATTAATTTTGTCTGATTTTCTCAAAAAAATATCATCTAACCATTTATAAATATTTAGAGCTTATCTAGTGAATTTAATGCCTTGTTTGGACGCAATCGTCAAAAGAACAGAAGAATCAATTCATGAAACTTTAGCATACTCTCTTCCACTACTATTTAAGGTGCAGTTTATAATACTAAGATCTCAGGGCCATTAGCGCCCATCTTTTATTTCAAATATATTAACTGTGGCTCTATCTGTGAACATTTTCTCTTTGTACATTATAAAACAATAACAAAAAGATTTCTACGATTTTAAAATTTATTTCGTTAAAATTTGAAAATTTGCGTAGTAATTTTTTGAGGCAATATTTTTTTTGATTCTCAAAGCATTCACAAACCTTCCCTGGGCTCATTTGAGTTGCCATACAAAATTTGGGCCCGATCGGTTCAACCGTTTTGACGTTTATATTGGACACAAACAGACAAGCAAACTGCAAAGTATATATTTAAAATAGATTTATTCAGATATATTCATAAAATATACAAAAGTTAAAGCAACTCTAACTTTTTTAGGTTTTGGGAAACTTTGCAAATGACAATGAGATAAAAGCTTTAATGAAGACTTTTTTCACCAATATTTGCTGCGTGAGCGCAGTACTTCGGCGCACTGCCGCACAGAACCTTGTAGTTCTGGCAACTAACAGTAGAAAACCAGTCGTCTTCACTTCATGGCTTCTCAATACAGCGTGTAATATGCTTCTTCCTCTTGGTAAATATATTTTAGTCGTCGTCGTCGTTCTTGCACCNNNNCCCCCAGCCACTCATTTCATTATTTCTTCCAGAAAGATATCAAGGAATGCAAGGTTGCCAAAAAAAATATTAGATTTTTATGATAAAAAATTTTAATAAAAAATTAGAAGAAAAAAATTCTCTAGGTTCTGATATTCCTTCGAATACAGTGATCGGAGTTCTAACTGTTTGCCGACAAATACTTCCTCATATTCAGGTAGTGTGGCCATTAGTATGTTTATTGTTCAATATGTACACTGTTAGTCAAGGTGGAATTTGGTCGAGACTGCAGGTAGTCAGGTAGGTCAGGTAGTTTAGTAAATTCAGGTAGTTCAGGTAGTTCAGGTAGTTCAGGTAGTTCAGGAAGATCAGATAGTTCAGGCAGCACAGGTAGTTCAGGCAGTCAGGTAGGTCAGGTAGTTTAGGAAATTCAGGTAGTTCAGGTAGTTCAGGTAGATCAGTTAGTGTAAATAGTTTAGGAAGTTCAGATAGTTCAGGCAGCACAGGTAGTTCAGTTAGTTCAGGTAGGTGAGGTAGTTTAGGAAATTCAGGTAGTTCAGGTAGTTCAGGTAGTTTAGGTAGTTCAGGTAGTTCAGGTAGTTCAGGTAGTTCAGTTAGTGTAAATAGTTTAGGAAGTTCAGATAGTTCAGGCAGCACAGGTAGTTCAGGTAGTTCAGGTAGTTCAGGTAGGTCAGGTAGTTCAGATATTTCTTGAAGTGTGGGTAGTTGAGGTATGTAATAAATATAGTAGTAATCTCCATATTTGTAAGCCTGAACATATTTTAATGTATATGTATATTACGTTAAAATTTTTTCTGTATCTTAACTACGTTCATGAATTTAACTACGGTCATTAGTTTAATTACGATTTAATTTAACTACGTTCATTAGTTTCACTATGATTTGATTTAACTACGTTCATTAATTAAACATGTATACATGTTTTGTACCATAAACCCGAAATATAGATCAGTTGGACATGAACCTTTGCTTTATTACATTTAGACATTATTTCTCGTGTAGAGAGCATAGAGTCCGCTTAAGTTGTATCTGTACAATAAGAAATACAGATTGTGTTGTATCTGGAATGATACAGACTAAAGAATTATTGTAAATATTGAGTTCTAGAGCGAGTTGTATCTGTACGATAAACATTGAATAATACATATAGCGTTGTATCTGGCTTGATAAAAACTGAAGTATTATTGTAGAACATTGAGCTCTAGACCGAGTTTTATCCATACGATACACATTAAGAATACAGAGAGTGTTGCTTCAGGTAGTTCAGATATTTCAGGTAGTGTAGGTAGTTCAGGTTGATAAGTTAGCTTTTTACTTTCTACATGAAGTAATATTTTCACTTATTTCAGGGATCGGATGATTCAAGCCAATTTTTAAGGCTTTATGAAATATGCATTTTCTTCCTCAAAATAAAGGTAAAAGCGAAGTCATATAGTCTATTTTTCAGATTGGGTGTTAATAATTAAACTTTCTATAAAATTTTGTTTGTACTTAGAAAAATCCTGAATTATCCTCTTATGCCATTCTAATTTATTAAATTTTCCGTTTTTTATATTTGTTTCACTCAACTCAGCTTTAAAACCCTTTAAAAATAAACAAATAAATTAACAAAATATAAAACTTTGTTTGTTTTGTTAGGATCATAATATTGTGAACGCTAGCCTGGAAACCCTGCAATGTCTTCTCCGCGTAGAATCCAAACTATTTATCTACCTACTCAATACACCTGCAGGGATAATATTTTAACTTATAAGCTGAAGGGTTTTCTTCTGAGATGTTGGATGGGTCAATCTGCTGAACAATCCAGAGATGATTTCAAGGATGTACGTGGGGAGGAAGACTTAAGCCACCCAAATTACCAGATTAAGTTCTGCGTTGAAGCATTTTTCGAAGTGTCTTCTTTATAAAAAATATTTTTTTCTACAATTCATACATTTAAGGGACTGTAAGCGTAATTTCAAATGACCTTCCATGCAAAGACGGCAATGTCTGATTTAAAACGGTTCCCTTTAAACCCTAATCTGATCAATACTGTCGAAGTTATTATCTCGTTTATCCAGGTTTCTAAGTGTTTAACTCTTACAATTCATATGTCTTCTCCTGCAGTAGAAATGCGCTAGTCACTTTTGTAGAGAAACCATCATTGAAAATAATCAGTTTTTAAAATTATTAACATTTATATCTAATTTATACTACCGTTGTGCATCGGGCATTGCCATCTTTGCTGGTTGGATAACTTGAAATTACTCTGACACTCCTCCCTTGAAGTAATCCTACATATATCTGGCTAAACTGAAAATCTTGAGAGATCAAAATAATATAAATTTTTTTACATTTGCAATCTCGGTGACATATCCCTCAGATGTACTGTTTTCTGTCCATTTCTGCCAAACATTGGTCGATTTTTCAAAATACCATGGGTTACGCCAGACACTTGAGGCCGAATTTAAAGAATTTGAGCCGCGGTTTTAATTTAAGTCGGCGCTCAAATATGGTTGGTTCCACTTAAAATTGTATTCAATTTTTCAAGATTTAAGCCGGTGCTCAATTGAACCCGGTCTTAGTAGATTTGAGACGGTATTCAATTTTTCAAGATTGAAGCCGGTGCTCAATTGAACCCGGTTTTAGCAGATTTGAGACTCTTGAGACGCGGCTTAAATTCATTAAATTCGGACATTGAGCTAGTAAGACATAAGAAGCCTGATCATTGTTTGCTAAACTTATGTATGCTACAAAATATTACTGGATAGGGTTGATGTCCTCGAGCATAACAGAGACTCCGCAAGATCCAAATATTCCTGCCAAGGAGCTCGGCCTCCAACACACCACTAACCTATCGGATTTTAGCCGCCCATTAGCCTCTATTCCAACGGATTTCAGCCTCCAGTCTATTTCTGAGTTTGCAGAGAACACTGTAGATCCTGTACTGGTTTTATCCGAAGGTTAGATGTTAAAAGATGTTAAAAGAGCGTCCGTTTGCTTAAAAAATCGTGGTTTAAAATTTATCAAGCCATTCTGAATGGTCAGGTAGTGTCAAAAACTTCCTTATGTGAGCATGTCAAAGGACCTACGGGAAAGTTAAACCCCCCTACCCCCTCAAAAAAAAAACAACGATAGAGATGACAGGAATTGAAACTTCAACCCATGGACTCCCTGTTAAGTTTGATTGGATTGGATTAGATATGGAAAATTAAACTTACAAATTTAAAATTTTACTTTTTTTCTGGTATTTCATTGTTATATCTTTTTATACCAGCATCAATATTAGAACAAAAATTATCTTACTTTTCCCATTTATAAATTATAGAACGCATAAAGGTTTTTGAATTTATTAAATATTTTTGAATTTATTGTAATTTTTAACATAGGAATTTAATTTTTAATACAATAATCAGTTTTTTAGATCAGTTATTATGTATATATGTTTGAATCTCTATATACGATTTAGACTATTTAGAGATCAAAAACGATAATTTAAGGCCTTTAAATAAATTTTTAAAGGGAGTGATCGGGTAGACATGGTAGTTGCACAGAGAGTGCAGCATTAAAGAGAAACATCTAATAAGTTTACTCCAGAATTTGTATTATATTTTTATTCCAAAAATGTATCCTCCAAAATATACAATCTGGGAGAATTCTGAAGATAGGTTTTGCACTCTTACTTAGTAGTTATACACCGTAAAACGTCTTATTAGTATCACATGAACATTTAAATCTTTTAACACTCAAAGATAATATATTTATAAATGAGCTGGCGGGTAGAATTAGCACCTGACTGAGACCCTCACTCGGACGTCGGTCTGGGGATCCCACATTGGGGGTCTTTCATGATCTTTTCTAATACTAATACAAATACCTTGAGAAACCTCCTGTCTAAATTGCTTGTAGCAGACAACTCATATTTGTACATTTACAAACAATTGAAAAAGAGACATCTTTAACATATTGATTATTTTCTATTTTCCTGCCGTTGTTTTATTTGCAATGGAAGATTTGTTTCATAAGTACAATTTACAGTATACATTGTTGATACTATAGTATCATTTGGTGTTATCATGCATAAACAAAGTGATAAATAAGCAACTCTTCAGAGGGTAAAATGCCATGCGTACGACAGAGACGGTGCTGCTTTCAATTTTTCACAAGACCTAAAAACTATACAACTTTCTTATATCCATATTATATAATCCTTGATAATACTGTACTCTCAGCTCACTTGCCATGTCTAGCCGGTCGCTCCCTTTAAAGGGATGACTTTCTGTTAATAAAGTGAATATCTAGGAGCTCCATCAAGCAGTATTGATCTGAATCCTGTAGATGTGAATGAGACACCTCCAGTAGTAAACATCTCTCCAGTTGTTGAAGATAAACCTGTACTCAAGAAGGAAGAGGATGAAGAAGAATTGAATATTGGAAGTTTTATAGGAATCTATTAAATAATATCATCCAAGGGCAATGTCAGTGTAACAAAGGAAATGACTACTAGCCTCTAACTATTATTCTATTATCCTTACATCTTGGCAACCTGATGTCGTAGACGTAGACTCAGACTAAAAGTTTTACAACCTTACGTAATTAAGCTACAAGGATTAGTTTCCTTTTACTTGATAATTTTTGTGAATTGAGAAGACCAGTTCTACAGTTGAATTGAACTGTTTTGGAACGGAAGTGAGAATATTTGAAAAAAAGGTGTCTATGCAATATTAAGTGCCCCACTATTAGTTACAAGCTCATTTATATCGGTAACATCTAAGGCTTCATCTAATATATAAGGAGGAAGATATCGTTATACAGCTTGCAGAGGAATTAAATCTTTGCCAGAAACTCAAATTTTCTAATCCCTATATCTTTGTTACCTGAACCATCATTTTTAATAGAGCATGTACCTCACCAAATGATGGGTCATTTAAAGTATGTTTCCAGTCCCTTGGAGATGATTATTTGTGGATCAGGAGAAGGCGTGTCTATCCAGTATTTGGCCCGCCTCCTCGTCTCCAGGTTTCTTCTAACCAGAGATAAAGGAACTTTAGTTCCAGATTCTTCTGTTAGGTAAATAGTGTTCCATAGATTCTTCAGTCAGGTAAATATTGTTCAGTAGATTCTTCAGTCAAATAAATATTGTTCAATAGATTCTTCAGTCAGATAAATATTGTTCAGTAGATTCTTCAGTCAGATAAATATTGTTCAGTAGATTCTTCAGTCAGATAAATATTGTTCAGTAGATTCTTCTGTTAGGTAAATAGTGTTCCGTAGATTCTTCAGTCAGATAAATATTGTTCAATAGATTCTTCAGTCAGTAAATTGGGGGCAAAAAATTATTTTGGGATCGAGAAAATCAGCTTTTTTGGGAATTATATTGACCCCTGGTCTGCGGTGAATCAACTACACGAAAGCTGTAAAGTCTTTTCTAATACGGTAAAATTGGCGTTATGTTATTTGTTCTAACATCATTTAATTGTCCTACAAACCATTTGTCTTAACACGCCATTTTTTCTACTAATTATTTGTCCTACAGAGAGTGGTTTACATCATTTGTCCTTAAGTATTGTTGTAAAGTCTAAACGATGTAAACATGAGCTTAAATGCGGTAAATGTTTGTTTAAATCCGGTAAATGGTTTTTTAAATGCAGTACATGTTTGTTTAATTTTGGTAAATGTTTGTTCAAATTGCGGTAGATGTTTGTTTAAATGCGGTAGATGTTTGTTTAAATTGTGGTAGATGTTGTTCCAAATGAGGTAAATATGTTCGAAGGACAGTTTTGTTTTGGTTTTTAATCCTTAAATAGTATTTTTTTTTAAATTACAGGGTTAGCGTGAAAACTCTGGCGTTGTCCTGTATGTGCGAAGTATTGTTGCTAAACCCTCAGGTAATAAATCTATTAATATTCAGCTAAATCTATATAATAAAACGGCTGGGCCTAATTAGCTGAATTTTTTTGTGGACACTTATGGGTAGCCTGGCGGTAACATAAGCTAGTTGCAAAAAAAATTTTAATTTTTCAGACCTGGAATCTGCATGTTTCATTGGAGGATTTTGAAGAATTTTCTTCAGGAAACCATATATTTAAGAACCATCATTATCTTTTATTTAAATTGATCTACAAAATTTTAAAATACGTAACTCATAAATTCTGTCTGATGTCCGATCATAAATCAAGAACACCTTGATCCATACGCCTCTTGATTGGGGAATTCGGTACAACCATGTAAATGTTCCTAGCTAGGTTTGAAACAATCATGAGGATCGAGTTTTTTGGAGATATTTTAGTTACCAAGCAAAACTGGGTTCACAAGCTAGTCAGTATATAAATTTGAGTTGTATTCATTATTCAACATGCATCCTTATCCAGAATTACAGATGAGACAAACATGCATTTATCAATTATACAGCTTGTCTAAAAACAATTTAGTTAATATTTGTGTTGAAACAGTTACCGTATCGGATCTAACCCAGTATCTTGACCACGAAGACCCTGGATTAAGAGGATCCACAGCAAGACTTCTTTCAATTCTTCTCAGAGGTAAAACATTTTTTTGTGGATTTCTTGATTCAAATATGAGTGGATTTTCACTGGCCATGGGTCTTAAAGGATTTGAGTTAACAATTAGGAGTGTAATACCAGAATCTAGAGTATAATCTCAGAATCTTGAGAAATATAATCCCAGAATCTAAAGTATAGTATGTAGTAAAATCATCGTTGTCAATTAGTTGTGTTGGTTCGGAGTTTCTTGAACAGTATGCTTAAACACTGTTACAAAACAGCTGACATCATTACATTTCAAACTTATATTTAGGAGCATGTATTGAAAGTGGAGGCTCTCCCTCTCAGTGGTTCGAAGGTTTGTTGATTGTTAACTATTTATAAACAAAATTATAAAGATCACAAAGAATTATACAATATACCTAGATTATCTAATACAGTCATTTTGAATTTGAAGCATGTAGGTAGGACTGATTAATCTATTAACTAATATGTGTTTAAATATTCCAATATTGCTCGGTCATATATTGAAATATGTTAAATCACTGTTTTATTAACGAAAGAGGTCTAAACTTGGAAGCATATCTCCCAATTTCTCATTTGATTTGATTTGGTCTAATATTCTATAGGAAGCTTGCTAAATTCTGATGAGATTTCGCATATGCTAATCTCAAGTCTGAAGGATTCCTCTTCTTTGACAATAAAGCAGGCGCTGGCAGGGATCAAACTTCTAATTCCACAACTTCTAGAGGCAGATCTAGTTTCTTCTACATCTAGGTTAGTTTCTACTACATCAAGGTTAGTTTCTTTTACATCTAGGTTAGTTTCTTCTACATCTAGGCTTGTTTCTTATACATTTAGATTAGTTTCCTCTTCATTTAGGTTATTTATTTCTTCATCTAGTTTAGTTTCTTCTACAATTAGGTTAGTATCTTCTTCATCTAGGTTAGTTTCTTCTATATATAGGTTAGTTTCTTCTTCATGTAGGTTAGCTTCTTCTACATTTAGGTTATTTATTTCTTCATCTAGTTTAGTTTCTTCTACAATTAGGTTAGTATCTTCTACATCTAGATTAGTTTCTTCTACATCTAGGTTAGTTTCCTCTACATGTAGATTAGTTTCTTATACATCTAGGTTAGTTTCTCATACTTCTAGGTTATTTTCTTCTACATGTAGATTAGTTTCTTCTAAATCTAGGTTAGTTTCCTCTTCATTTAGGTTAGTTTCTTATACTTCTAGGTTAGTTTCTTCTACATTTACTTTAGTTTCTTGTTCATCTAGGTTAGTTTCTTCTACAATTAGGTTAGTTTCTTCTACACCTAGATTAGTTTCTTCTACATCTAGGTTAGTTTCCTCTACATGTAGATTAGTTTCTTATACATCTAGGTTAGTTTCTTATACTTCTAGGTTAGTTTCTTCTATATCTAGTTTGGTTTCTTCTTCATCTAGGTTAGTTTCCTCATATTTAGGTTAGTTTCTACTGCATAAAGGTTGGTTTCTATCATACATAGGTTAGTTTCTACTACATCTAGCTAGTATGATTAGTTTCTAGTTTCAACCGAGTTATTTTAACTACTAGTGCTTTTATAGATTGCTGGAAACCGTATTAGCACTTTCAAACAACAGTTATTGGCTGATCAAGGTATTTCTATGCTAAATGGATTTTGACTATGCGTACAGTGATAACCAGAAAACTCTGAAATAGGAATTTACAGCAATACTTAAGTGTATTTGATGCTGTTACAAAGCAAATAGTTTTACTAGACACTTATTAAATCACAAATCAAGTCAAAAAGGTCTGTTTACACTGCACAATTGCTGTATCCCATGCATATTGGACTATTTAAAGTCATAGCAATTGCGCCTAAAACTCATCTTTCTATTCCATAGTTTCTGGATATCACTGTAGATTAAACAACGTGCAACGTGTTAAATTTTAGCAGTTTTTTCGCAAATTATTTTCCAATAAACGGGGTAAAAAGATTTAGTTCTAAAAAGGAGATATTAGTAGATCAAATAATTAATGTTTGTTTAGATGGAACTATGTGATCTACTGTCCAAGATTGATCCTCTATCTGCATCCTATATTCTCCCAGGTAAACTACAAAATATTAAATCTTTACATCTTATTAGATCTGATAGAAGTGATGAGAAAACTTTAGAATTTTTTTATATTTTTATTTTCAAATATGTGCTGCAGGGGGGGGGGTCCAAAAATCGTTCTCTAGGAATATACCAAGAAACTTAAATCACTAAATATAGTGTCAAATATGTCTTAACGTGAGCCCTAATGAATAGTAAAAATTATTTTTTTCGTGAATTATTTTAATAAAACCACTGTAATTCATAAATTTTAAGATGGGGGGGAGGGGATTTTGTAGATTTGAAGATGAATATCTTAAAACGAATGCGTAGGAGATGGCGTGCACGAACGATGCTGGAAACCCAGTCCATCATCCTCCTGAGCTTCCTAAACCTCAGATCACATTTTCCTCCTCAGGATTCCAGGTACTGCTTTTTTATCCAACTAAGGGTTGACCTATAATAAAAATAATGACAGCTGTACTTTTTCTCGAAATCATTTATATCTGCCTACGCGGAGCAAAATCATTTATTTCTGCCTACGCGAAGCAAAATCATTTATATCTGCCTACGCGGAGCAAAATTATTTATATCTGCCTACGCGGAGCAAAATCATTTATATCTGCCTACGCGGAGCAAAATCATTTATATCTGCCTACGCGGAGCAAAATCATTTATATCTGCCTACGCGGAGCAAAATCAATGATATTTTGGATGAAAAGTATTCATAAGACTGAAAAAAGTTGCATCTAGAATCTAGATGTCCAATTTTACATTTTTTCCCAAATCATCAAAAATCATTTCCCGCTTTCCTCTATGAGTGTTTGTGTATTTCTGAAAAATATACACTCTTGAATAAAAATAATAAATATTTGTTAGCAGCATCTTTTACTTCTGGAAAATAATAATGAAAATAATATGGCTTTCGGTAAAATTGACAAGCAATGTCATTTTAAAGAAAAATATTTTATTTTATAACTAACAAATAAGATATGCGGGTCTTGGGCGGCTCGCCTAGTATAAGTCTTCTCTCTAGGGTAACACGGTCCGGTCAGTCCATGGATACATTTCGGCGGCTAGGAGCGCCGACCCCTATTTCATTGAATGAAGGGTTGTCCTTTAATAATAATACAACATCATTTGTGACATTTCAAACAAAAGCAAATAGCTAAGATGGGCAATTATTCATCTTTTATTCATGATCACATCTAGCAGTTCTTCAGCTGGAATAAAATAAATCAAGACCATATTCATGATTAGCTTTGCTCTTTATCCTAATAATACAAAAATCCATTTTCAGATACTTAAATGACAAATATCTCCATCATCGAAACGACTGAGTGGTGTTATATTGTCGATGGAACTAATTTAACTTTTGGATGAATTTTTCTTAAATTTTTTTTTTCATTTTTTAGGTTATCCTAGAAATCTACGGATTACTGAAGACAGCTGGGAACAAACATCTATTGTTTGGTTGTATTGAAGCTTTAGATAAAATCATTCAGGAATCATTTTAATATATATTTAATACATAGAGTCCAATCATAACTCGTAAACCACTTAACCGATTTGCCTCAAATTTTGATTGGGGAATGTTCTAAGCTTTGTTTTAAGATTTTAAGTTGGGTGTGTCTACTTTTAAAAGAACAAATTCCGGGCAAAGGGGGGTTCCTAAGCTTGTATTTAATATTAATAATGTTAATATTAATTCACTAGTAATCACTGACCTACTCCTAACATCTCGTTTTACAATTTATTTTCAGAAGTGACAAAAAAACTGTATAAAATTATGTTTTTTTTTTTCATTCAATATCTACTTAAAGTTTGTAGAATTTTTATATCTTAAAATTCTAAGTTTAAAGCAGTTTCTCATACTTCATACTACACTTCACACTGTTAGTAACTTTTATCCTGTTTAAACATGTTTTTTATTATGATAAATGTAATGATTTCTAGTTTTATCCGCCCGGAGAATACCCAGGGGTGTGGGGGATTCATATGCCACGGTTAACTAGGTAAATGTTTTTATCCACTAGGAGAATATCCAGAGGTTTGCGGCTAGATATATTGTATCCACTTAAAGAATATCCAGGGGTTTGAGGCTAGATATATTGTATCCACTTAAAGAATATCCAGGGGTTTGGAGGTATATATATTGTATCAACTAGGAGAATATCCAGGGGTTTGAGGCTAGATATATTGTATCCACTAGGACAATATCCAGGGGTTTGGAGGTATATATATTGTATCCACTAGGAGAATATCCAGGGGTTGGTATATATATTGTATCCACTAGGAGAATATCCAGGGGTTTGGAGGTATATATATTGTATCCACTAGGAGAATATCCAGGGGTTTGAAGGTAGATATATTGTATCCACCAGGAGAAATCTAGGGTTTACCTTCTCCTTATTGAGAAATTGCTAAACTAATTTCAAACATATTTCTGGAGCTTTAGTCACAGACAGTGCTGTACAACTGCTAACCTTTAGTTTATTTTTCAATCATTAATTAACGTCAATAATTAATTAATGGAAAGGACTTGAAACTCCGATCCACTATTGGAGTCTTAGGCCGTCCCTGCAACTTTGCTTTGATTTGATTTCATTTGATTTGATTTCATTTCATTTCATTTCATTTCATTTTATTTAATTGCATACTTTGTAGGGCGACTGTAATTAAAGAGGCTACTGTTCAGTCCCCGGCGTCCTCTCTACTCAATCATATTCTGCTCCTTCTTGAATCCTCAATATACTGTACAGATCTGATGGTTCACTCAAGCCTACTCAGGATAGCAGCTGGACTATACTCAGGTTAGTGGGTTGCCCACAGAGATTGGGATTCAGAGAAGACGAAGTAGAATTTGTTCACTCCTATTGCTAGTTAAAACTTAAACCACCGATTCAAAATTAAAGAAAGGAAGGATTTGAATCGACATTTCTGCAAGGAAATATTTATTACAAATTACAAATCACTATGATTTAAAGTAGTTTTCAATATTCTTTATATGATATTAAGTACTAAATTGCACTGAACAGTGAACAAGCCATGTCAATTGCTCAATTTCTTCTCAGTATTCATAATTTTCAATCTCAACTGATTCATATCATATCCAAATATTAAAATAGTGTATTGAATTCTTATCCTAGGACTTGTTTGTCACAATCTGCGAGAAACTGGTGAAGTGTCGAGGGATGGAATCAATTCTTTAGTTCTAGGAGATACAGCTCTCAGCAGGTAGACAGGGATAACAATACACGTGGCCGTGGATTGGGTAATCTAAAACTAAAAGCTTCCGGGATTTAAAAGTGAAATAGAAAAGAAAATAAATAAACATAGATGAAAAAGAACACTATAGCTAAAAATGATAAAGGAGAAAAGAATGAAAGATACAAAACGAGAAACAAGATGTGAAACAGAAATGAAAAACTAGATAGAAATGATGTTTAAACAACATGGTGCCTTCACTCAATTTTGACACGAATCCGGACCTTTCTTTTCAAAAATTAGATCACCTTTCTCCAGTCTTCTATGTTTTTTTCTATCTTTATGACTAATGAGTAATGGCTAATGAGAGATCAGATCATTTATAATCAATTTCTAGTTTCTCAATAAAAGGTTTTTGTCTGAGAAAAACAAACAGATTATTTTTTGATTAAAATTAATAATTCACCATTTGGATTTTCATATTTTCGCATATTAGGATCCAGGATGCGCATCCTGATCCTAAACATTGTTTTTGGTTTAGATGTGGAGATGAGCTGCTCCAGCATCTAGTTAAACTGCTCTCCATCAGCCAGCATGTCCTGGAGGATATACAACCCGTCCAGGAACTATATCAGTATTATAAAAAAAAAAAACAGTTTCAGAAACAGTTTTAGAAATTATGATATTGTTTGCGGTATTTGTAAAACAAAAAGAAAAACGACGACGCCAGTAATTGATTCAAGATTTGCTGCGTAAGATATGATACCATAGATGTTCAGATTTTTTAAGATATATACATTTTTTTTTGATTGAATGGGAGGGGGGTGGTAAGGTATAATACTTATTTCCAAATTCAAAATATTGATTTATCCCCAGACCTCCTCAAAACCCTCTCTCCCCTCCCTGCAGAACACGACATTGTCTCCGATCAAGAAGAAGCAGAACCCGGATCAAGCTCCAGGATCCACATCTCCAACACCAGGGGAGAAACCTTCCAAGGACGAGAAGAAACTTAGAGGATACTTCTTTGGAAATCCGTTCTACATGAAGATGTTCGAGATTCTCAAGTCCAGCTTCAATATCTACAAGACCTCTTTGGACGAGAAGAGTGAGGAGAAGGTGTCCGGCTACGTGGTGAGCGTGCTGAATTGTTTCTCTGATGTGATGAACTACAGTATAGGGTTCGAGGTTGGGAAGCATGTGGAGGAGTATCTGATGTACATGAAAGCATGTATGGTGATAGCACCAAGGAAAAAGCAAATACAAATATCTTCTTATAATAAAGCTCTTCGCTCACATATATATATATATATATATATTATAGCTTTAGATGGCCAACTTTTTTTTATTCGACGGTAACGCCAGGCAATTCAGTTAGTAATATATCTATAGATCTATTATACATTTTAATTCAAAGACAACTTTACTTTGAATTGATTGTTTTCAATTCATGTTTCGCATTTTTGTTCTATCATTTACGAGGAATGAAATTGATTTTTAATCTTATTCACAATCACAGCTGATGTATTTAAGTCTGGTATAAACCCTGTAAGCTTTATAGCTCATATCCTTGTTCTAAGGTTGAAATTAATATACAGGAAGTAGAATATCATCTAGATTGCTGAACTTCTGCTGTATTGTAGCCGAGCGCACTAAAGTAGTAGTTCAACACCTACAAATAGTTCAACTATTTCTCTCAGTTTACTAAATCCGACCTCGAGCAAGATACTAAACAACGTAATGAATTATTTTTTTTACAAAGTTTTGAATGTATTTGCAATAATTAGACCAGCTTTGATCTCTGTGCAAGCACTGCTGAGATGCCTGTTTAAGAATAATTTTCCCTTTCTCTATAACAGCAGTATTCCTTCCTTCCCGAGAATACAGACATGTCCTTCAATTTTCGAGGTGTTTCAGCAAATTATTCTTTAGATAAATCACCTAAGATGAATATTTATGAATGATATGTAGTTGAACCAGGTTACCAGCTACGACAGGTTCAACCTCAGTATTAATAAATTCTCGACTCGAGGAAAGCTAAAAGAAATAGAAGACAATAGAAGCCGATTATTCTGTAAAATTTTCAGCTCAGAACATTCTTTTTGAAGATCCCTTCGTTTTATTTTGATAAATTTTCGGTGCTGATTTTCTATTTATCAGCAAAGAAGGAATTTAAAGATTTAAATTTTAGGCATTTTTAGCTTTTTAGCGGCCATATTTGATTAAATAGAAAGTGTTATTTGATATTTAGCCCATGGTTGCATAGAATTATGGTCTATTTTATGTTCAAAGGATTCAAAAAGTGCAGACTAATGATCAGGAAGAACTTTTGTGTTGTGAATTTACGAATTAATTTATGGTGGGGAAAACCCTTCAGAGAATTTAAACTGAGGGATCAAGCATTTATCCTCCAATTCAAAAGTGCCTACATTGGCTATCGTGATCATGCGAAGTTGGTAATTTTTTTTATATTTTAGGTAATTATCAGCAGTCCGTACACAAGCTTTACAATAGAACATGGTCTCAACCTCGAGGCTAGAGATTTATCTAGTAGCAGCAGCAGCAGCTCAGCCTCACTGAGGATGTCTATTGTTAGAAACCATCCTTTTAGACCTATCAGGAATACATTCATGGCATTCAACATTAAAGGGACTGTACACAATACACATTGTTAAAATAAATACGAAAATCCTTAGCTTTTGAAATTATGAACACTCCTACACCAATCTTACTGCTCAAAATATCCAATTCGAAATGTCCTATCAAAAGTAACAAGTTTTTGTCAGAAAATTTTTTGTTCTAGTTGTGGTTTTTGGACAACATTTTCTATTTGTAATCAATCCTTAATTCCGAAAATTGGAATTTTCTTTGTGTTCAGGAAAATTGTTCTATTGTTCTGTAATATTAAAAATAACGCTTAATTTTTTAAAATTCTGTAATCATAGAGTTATTCCTTGAACATAGTTTAAAGGGAATGTAGGCATAATAACAAGTGAACCCACATTTTAAAAAAAGTACATGCCCGATTCACAACGGTACCCTTGAAACCTTTTTTTGATCAATAATGTGGAAGATATAGATAACTACGTTTCTACGTTTGAAAGGTGTTATATTATGTCAATTTCTCCATGGTTTTCCTGCAGTAGAAAAGCGCGAGTCACTTTTTAGAGAAACCACAATTAAAAATAATCAGTTTTTAAACATGGATATAAAATTCATTCAACGCTTTAAAGGGTGCCATTGTTAATTGGGAATTTCCATCTTTCTTTGAAATTACGTTTCCAGTCCCTTAAAATGACGTATTTTGCCTAAAGAAATACGAAATGAAATGTAGAATTTAAAGGAGTGCTGCAGATAAAAACTCTTTGGCTTCCTTTATCCGACTGTTTGAGCCGATGGTGATCAAAGCATTGAAACATTACACAGTTTCTTGTGATATATACACTCAGGTAGGATATTTTTTAAGTGTTTTTTTATTTTAAAGTATGAATAATTTCTACTTTGTCTAATCTGATACATATGTTATTTGTTTAATTGAGAAAAAACACAATCTTGATATTTACATTAACTTATTTTTTCATAAACTCTGCAATTTTGTCCGCTTGCTCGATCCCTAAAAATGATATTAGAAACTACTTTTATCTCCAATTGTGTGAATGAGGACCAAGTTAATGAATGTTGTCTTTTTTAAATTATAATATTTTTAAAATACCTGAAAGCCGTGCACCGTGCATGAATGACCAGTATTGAGGATGTACATGTTCTCCAGCTAGCAGTAGTCTGGGTACTGTAGGAGAGGGTAGAGGAGTTGATAGCTCTTTATAGTCCTGTAGAATAGGATCTCAATTAATATTTCATGGCAAAATCTAACATTTTTCAACAACAATTTTGCTGTGAAAGATGAACTCATGCCAATTTTATATTTTTCCATGAGTAAATATCTTAATTTGCTCATTTTTCTCTATGGTATCTTAAAATAAGATCTCAAGTTCTTTACAGACCTGATGAGTTGAGTAGATAGATGGATAGCTCCAGGTTCCTAGTGCATAGGGATCTGCTAGCCAGGGGTGTCTTCGAACCTTGTTGGGAAGAGATAGTGCAGGGTCCCCAGTAAACCGTCTGATAAAATAAACATTCTTGAATTGACTTGCGCATTGCTACTGAAGAAAAGAATTTATCACCTTTGAACCTAAAAACGACAATATCTTCCACACTAACCACAAAAAGATTTCAATGATACCGTTGTGAATCGGTCAATTAGCATCTTTGCATTAAGGGTCTCTTGAAATTTGCTTATGGAGATAATTTAACTACATCTCTGGGATACTGATATCAAATTAAACCTATGCAAAAGTGGTTTAACTAGTCTTTCCTATGTCACCTACTATTATGGCGACCAGTGTTTAAAAATGAACTCAATGGCAAAGAAAAAAAAAAGGAAGTTAAAGTATGTTAAGAGATGTTAAGAGTTCTATAAAAATAAGAGATTATAAACCTGAGTAGTTTTCCAGCTTGTTCAAGTATTTCTTTGTCTCCCAGTTTGTCTACATACTCTGCAGCACTACCTACTACCCACATTATAAGAGTATCATTAGTACCCTCAACCTGAAATTTAAGATCAACAATAACCTCTGATCTAGAAATAGGATATATTTAGCTACTTTAAAGTTACTCTCCATGCAAAGATGACAATGCCTGTTCACAACTGTACCTTTGAAACCTTAATCTGATCAATATTGTGGAAGATACAGTCATTTTTCTGGTTTGAAAAGGTTTTTTTTTTGATAATTTCTGCATTGTTTCTGAAGCAAGAAATGGTTCAAGTTACTTCTGTAGTGAAAAACAATAAATGTTTATCTAATTTATACTTGATCAGACAACGCTTTCAACGTAGTGATGTGAATTGGACACACCACACTTTCAATGGATGTTCATTAAAAAGAAAGGTCACAGTTCCTTTAATGATAGGGCGTCGGGACATAATTTAACAAGAATGAGAAGTTGCAGTTCAGAATTTTATACTTTTTGTATTTAACAATAGCTATTAAGAAAAAGGATTTATAATAAAAAAAATGCGCTTTTGGTTTCAATCTAAGTAGACTAATAATTAAGGAAACTTACCTCATCAAATCCATTCACGGTTTTGAACCATTCCTCGGGTAAATTAGCACCATCAATATCCTAAAAGTTTATAGAATAAGATAAAACGTACTTTTTTAGCGTTGGCTTTAACGAAGAGTCAACAAATATTGAAAATATATTTGGTATTTTTAATCTAACAAAATTGTCATTTGTTGTTTAAAAAAATTAGCAGAAAAACAGCTGAGTTCCAAATGGGCACCAAACTGCAGCCATTACGGCGGAAAAGACGACTTATCTGTCACATTATTTCATTTTTAAACCTGACTCACCTTCTTTGTCCAGACGAAATTTATGTTTCCTTCTCCTTCATTCCAGAATGGTTTATCAAACTCAAGGAATATTTTGCTGATCCTTCCTCCTCGCATATTCTCTATTCCTCTCTTCTAAAGAGAGAAGATGAAACTTATTCTGACAAATTATTTTATATTATGGAATTATTAAAAGGGACTAATAACGTAACTTTAAGTGACAGCACTCCATCCATTTATAGCATGTCCGATTTACAACGGTATCCTTCAAACCCTTGTCTGAGTTGATTGACTTATGGAGTTATCCCTCTTTTTCTATCTTAAATTTTTTATTTTCAATTAAGGATTTAGAGAAGTGTAACTTGCGAATTTATTTAGAGAGAGAATGAAATTGAAGGAATTCAACACTTGTGTAGAAATACGACGATATCTTCCTTTTTCTTACTCAGATAAAGGTTTAAGGGGTCTAATTGTGAATAATACATCACAGTATAAATGGAGGGTCCCCTAAAATTGCATCTAAAGGCCCCTAGAAGCATAAAATGAAATGAGGATTCTACCTTCTTATCATCTAATTGAGGAGAAAACAAATCTTGCGTTTGCAAAACTCCAATTGGGACTGTCACAATTGCATGGTCAGCATTGTAAACTCTAGAAGGAAATTATAAGATTAGATTCTAGATTATTTTAATTACTTTTTTCATTTGATGAAAATACATGCCATAGAACATAGACAGGACATTTCAGGACATTAGAGAGGACATTTCAGAGACAGGACATTTCACAGACAGGACAGTTTATAGACCGGACAGTTCATAGACTGCAGGACAGTTCATATACAGGGAATGTTGTAAACAGGAATTTTCATAAGTAGGACATTTATAGACAGGACATTTCATTGTCTCATATATGAAATGGTCTATCTTTGTAATGTCAGCTGTCAATGAAAGGTCCAATTCATGACTTTGTTATAAATTAAGTGTCCAACTGTTGTTTAGTTGTAAAACAAAAAAGTCACCTGTCTTTTGTCACAACTTCTACTCCCTCGGAACTCCATTTAATTTTCTCAACAGGCTTCTCGAGTTCCTAACAAGAAATTTGAGATTTATTGATGGAAATTTGTAGGTAATAATGAAAAGGGAATTAATGTAATATTATCATTTCTATGTGATGTTTCTGTAATACGATTTTCACTGATATTCAAGAGTTAGTGTAGTCATTTCAAGATTATTTATGTGGTTGTGGATGTCCCTAAAAGTCTGATTAATTTAATTTAATATGTGTTTTAAAAAATCAGTTAAATGAAGTTAATAACTCACAAAGTTGCTATCCATATCTTGAGCAAGTGCATTTATAATGCTATTGAGTCCATCAGGGACAACAACATCTTCTCCAGGTAGCTCCTCAGAGCTTCCATATAGATAAAGACTGGCTTCTTCAAGAGAATCCCTGAACATAAGGTGTCGGTTTTATCGTAACTATTTATAACACTTATTTTTTATTTATTTTTGGATAGAAACTTTTTATCGAGGTTTAAGCCTTTTTAGATTTTATTTTGTCCCGAGCTTGGATATTTCATACTTTGAATATTGTGAGATCAAATAAACTTATTTTGAAATATCAAAAGATTACACCATCAGGTGGCAAAGATATAAAGATTAGATAATTTAAGTTTGGGGCAAAGACTCAACTCCTGAACACCAAATTTAAAATGATTATTTAAAACCTACCCAAGATATCCTGCTAGCATGAGTGAAAGACTTTCAACCACCATTTCTATATCCTGAAAAAATTGCTTTTATTTTAAGAAATTAATAGTGATAATTTTCTCAAAGGTCCTTAACATTTTTAGATTATATTTTGTCCCTCGCTGAAGCTCAGAAAAAAATTAAATCTAAGAATGCTTGAATCTTTAAAATAAAGAAAAAATTTCTGTCCAAAAACTTTATTACACTGCGAACCAAAGTAACAGTTTTATAAATAGTTATTATTAATGAACATCTAAATATTTTTTTTTTAAATGTAAAAGAAAATATTATCTCATTTCTGTTTTTTAATGCGCAGAATATCAATAATAAATTTCTTTTTCTTGTCAGAAAAAAAACATTCTATAGAATTGGAAATAATTTAAGATAGCATTTGTATTTTATCAGTCACCTTCATTTCATTTCTGGAATAGTCATCCTTCTTAAGCTTTCTTATTTCTTCTTTTACACGTTTCTTGTAGAACTCTCTGGAAAAAAGGTTAAATGTAACTTCGAGAAAAAATAAATCTTTTTTACTAAATCTTGTTTCAAGATTCGGGCTTAAAAACTCGGATACAAGACGAATTGGAACTCTTGCCCTAGGGAGCCTTGAGCAATCCTTAATCAATTGGATTGGATTAGATTGGATTGGATTGGATTGGATTGGATTGGATTGGATTGGATTGGATTGGATGGGATTGGATGGGATGGGATGGGATGGGATGGGATTGGATTGGATTGGATTGGATTGGATTGGATTGGATTGGATTGGATTGGATTGGATTGGATTGGATTGGATTGGATTGGATTGGATTGGATTGGATCGGATCGGATCGATCGGATCGGATCGGATCGGATCGGATTGGATTGGATTGGATTGGATCGGATAGGATCGGATCGGATCTGATTGGATAAACTTTACCCGAGAGATTGTCCTTGAAGAGATGGTTCAGCATTTTTGAAACTAAATTCAGTTTCATCATTTATATTCTCATATATGTCCCAGGCCTGTAAACATTTAATAATTATTTTCTAGATTTAAACTAAAGAATTCAGATACTTGATTTTTATATTTTAGAATAACAACTTACTTTATTAGAGATATCACGGTCTATTATTCTCCCCTGTTGTTAATATAGTTAAGAATAGCTGGGTTTTTTTTGTCAAAATAAATCTTAATATTTCTGATCAACCAACTTTTTGGTAGAAAAAAAACAAATCAAAAAATTATATGAATGGTTGAAAAACTTTTTTTTTAAATGCAGAACTACAGATGAGTTTTACTCCTCTTTTATCGATGGATAAAGCAGTGATTTCACAACTACCCACCTTGGATATCAAGATCAATTGGTAAAGATTAGCGGTACTCCACACAAAGGTTTTGATTCATTAATTCTTAAGGAAAATAAAATGTTCAGGGAGGGTCATACAAATTTAAAAACTGTTAAATTTGTGATGTCTCAAGTTCTATATAATCCTGAGAGGTGTAGAAGTATCCAGTTGGGTAATCATCCTCTTGGTCATCCCCTACACGCTTTACTTTAGATCCAAGAAGTTTCCTGTCAAAATATTGCATCTTGTTATCAAGAGCAGTAAATTCAATATTAAATTTTGATGTTTGAAATCAAATCAAATCATTACTTTGTCGATGCATAGTTGAAGAGGGGATTGCCTGGACAGCCTCCATGTATCCATTGAGCTCCCAGCTCCAGCTTTCCATCCGTAAATATCCGTCCTCCAATACGGTTCTTAGCTTCCAACAAAATAGTCTAAAATGGTGTTAAAATATATTTAGTGTTTGTTAGCGGTGTTATTTTTTACTTTTCTGTAACTATAAAGGTTTAAGCATAGTTTAACTAAATATCCTAGCTTCATTTTTAAATCCTTAAGTGAATAATTACTACATAGAATTTAGCAGTGGATCTATTTAATACCATTTATACTTTTAAACCCTCTACTTCTGTAGTGTCCACTGCTCAATTTTGATTAAATTCTTTTTAAGCCCAACTCTAAAAAATACTGCTAAAATGGCCAACCTTGATTTCATGCTTCTTGAACCTAAACTAATATTGAAAAATATACTTCTGACATGTTCAACCTTGATTCCATGCTCCTTGAACCTAAACTAGTGTTGAAAAATATACTCCTGACATGTCCAACCTTGAATCTATGCTCCTTGAGCCTAACTGCTCCTGAAAGATATACTCCTGAAATGTTCAACCTTGATTCCATGCTCCTTGAACCTAACTGTTGTTGAAAGATATACACCTGACATGTCCAACATTGATTCTATGCAAATTAAGCCTAACTGATGCTGAAAGATATACTCCTGACATGTCCAACCTTGATTCCATGCTCCTTGAACCTAACTGCTGCTGAAAGATAAACTCCTGACATGTTCAACCTTGAATCTATTCTCCTTGAGCCTCACTTCTCCTGAAATGTTCAACCTTGATTCCATGCTCCTTGAACCTAACTGCTGCTGAAAGATATACTCATGACATGTCCAACCTTGATTCCATGCTCCTTGAACCTAACTGCTGCTGAAAGATAAACTCCTGACATGTTCAACCTTGATTCTATGCTCATTTAACCTAATGCTACTGAAAGATATACTCCTGACATGTCCAACCTTGATTCCATGCTCCTTGAGCCTGACTGCTGCTGAAAGACCAGCTATTCCACCACCAACTATTATCACATCTGCATCCTTCATACTCATCTATAAAATACATGGGAAAATATCTTAAAAAATTCTGACCCAAAATAACTTTTATTTTTTCAAATAAAATTATTTTTATTACTTTTTCTTATTATTCCAGCAAAAATAGATTTTTAAGGAGAGAGACAAAATATTTAGAACTTAGATAGTGTTCGATGATGTTTGATTTGAATTAGGATGTTCGAAATCGAATATTGATTTTTTTAAAGCGTGAAATTGCACCGTAATCTTTATTAAGAACTAAACCGTCCTTAGTTTGAACAAGGTTTATATCGCCGATAGAATATATTTTGTGAGATGTGTTTGATGTGTGTGATATATATACTATAAATGAGTGTGTTGCGTAGTAACAGCTGATATTGACTGATTAAAGTTGAGGATATCTTAAACAAACAAAACTTAACATGCACTAAGGCGCAACTTTATACTTTATAGGGTGGATAAAAGGGGGGGGGGAGATACTGTCCTAAACCTGTGAATTAAAACTTCAAGATTGTGAGACATACCTCTGATTGACCCCTTCTTCTTTATTTTAGTTGCGCCTAGGACTGGATTTATTACTACTTTTTTATCGTTTGTGAAGGACGCAGAGCCTAGATGTGCCCCGGCCCAATTAACTGGGATTATATATCATTTACGAGTATATAATCATAAAACTCACCACTTTTCTTGTTAAAATGTTGACAAAATGTAATATTTGCAACAATTTTATCATTTTACTGCTGCTGAACTGAGCACCTGTTTAAACAGACTGAAGTACGTTTAACTAATACAAATTATCCACTCTGCCACTACAATATGTTTTAAAGAATCCCTGCCCTACTCGCCCTACCGGAACCTACTCTACTTAATGAATGTTATAAACCCCTCAGCTTTTATTGTCCTTCGGTCGCGGTGCAGTGTGTCTTAAATCAATATTTACCTGCATTAAGTACAGAGTGTTTAAAGTATATTATTATTTCATATCTATATAATAAAGAAGCTCTTCGCTCATCATATATATAGCTAGCCAAATGGCTGGACCAAATTGGCTGATTTTTTTACAGCTACGATAATTGCATAATTTTTAAAAGAGACGAGAGATATATTTTATTGTGCTTAAATGTAGCGGGGGGGGGGGGATTTATTAAAGTTACTTATTTTTGGCTTTTCGCTTTTGAGGGTATTGAAGGTAAATAAATGGAGTCTTTGTCACACAATCGATTTTTAAGTCCCTATATCTTTGCAAACCAATTTCCCAGACCTTTCATAGATACTATTATGTATAGATTTTGTTAGATCAAATAATTTGAAATATTAAAAGTTTTCACAATCAGGTTGCAAAGATTAGGGAATTAAAAGTTTGAGTTTGTGACAAAGACTCAACTGCTTTTGTCAAGAGAAACTGTAGCAAAGTTTAATCCTCTCTACTAATCTGCAAAAGTAAATACGTTAATTCCTTCCAGATTATTTTTATAAAAATTATTGTGTACTTTATCATTCTTCCTCATATAATCGTTAATTTCATAATGAACGTGCTATAAAGTAATCACCATGATATAAAGTAATCATCGTTCTATAAAGTAATCATCGTTCTATAAAGTAATCATCATGATATAAAGCAACCATCGTTCTATAAAGTAACCATCGTGCTATAAAGTTAAATTAGTTGTAATTATAGCACGTGTGCTTTAAAGTTTTGATTGGTTCTCGGGTTTTCTCAAAAAAATTTAGGACATTTCCAAAATATTTTGTTTCAATTGAATGAAAATACAATTTTAAAAAAAACTTTATTTAGACTTCTGCTTTGTTTCAAAGCTTATTTGATCTATAAATAGCCATTGAAAAAAGATAAGTGCACAAACGTTTCATAAAATTACCTATAACACTATTATTTTGGTACGACGTACTATGAAGTTTTTAGACTTAAATTTTCTCTATATCTCGAAGGATCTCGTCTTTTTAGATTATATTTTGTCCCTCGCTAGAGCTCGGGACAAAATTAAATATGAAAAGGCTTAAACCTTCTCGAAAAAGAGAGAATTTCTGTCCAAAAACTTTATAACACTGTGAACCTAAATAACTGTTATAAATAGTTAATACAAAAGGATTGCATGTAAAAGCATTACATTTATTGAGAATAAATTTTTAAAACAAAATCAAATCTTTAATGAAGATGTTCATTGTTCATAATAATTAGAAAAAACTGTCAAATAAGTATAAAATGGTTAGCACAAATCCTCCTCAGAGAATACTTGTCTGGCATGTGAATATATTTTTGTAATATTTTAGATTGAAGTATTGAAGTTGTTGATTCAATTGGTTCGACTGCGTGTAAATTACTGCTTGCTGGATTCAGACCAAATATTTACAGGTAAAGAGGGGAATATCTTTTTTATTTTTTTTTCATATTTTTAGTAAACATGGATTTTAATTCAAATTTAGACATCTCCAATCCCACACATCCTTGGACTGATGATCAAAATATGTTTATCGAAATATTTATAACCTGAACTGACAGTCTGTAACTTTGGTTGAGATTGCTTTATCTACCTGGTTTAAAGTTTTAAAGTGATAAGTTGTGATTGCTGATAGTTTTGTAGAGATAGTATTGATGAATTGTGATTGCCAATAGGTTTGTAGGATTGTGATTTCTAGTAGGGTTTCAGAATTGTGATTTCAAATAGAATTGTAGAATTGTGATTGCTAATAGGATTGGAAAATTATAGGATTGTAGAATTGTGATTATAACAGGATTGTAGGATTGTGATTACTAATAGGATTGCAGAATTGTGATTGCTAATTGGATTGCAGAATTGTTATTGCAAATAAGATTGCAGAATTGTTATTGCAAATAAGATTGCAGAATTGTGATTTTAATAGGATTATAGGATTCTAATTGCTAATAGGTTTGCAGAATTGTGATTGCTAATAGGATTGTAGAATTGTTAATAGTTATAAGTTTTCAGAATTGCGAATGCTAATAGGATTATAGAATTGTGATTTCTTAGAGAATCGCAGAATTTTGATTTCCTTAAGGATTGCAGAATTGTGATTTCTAATAGAATAGTAGAATTGTGTTTGATAATAGGTTTGCAGAATTGTGATTTTTAATAGAATTGTAGAATTGTGATTGCTAATAGGATTGCAGAATTGTGATTTTCAATAGAATTGTAGAATTGTGGTTGCTAATAGGATTGCAGAATTGTGATTTTCAATAGAATTGTAGAATTGTGGTTGCTAATAGGATTGCAGAAATGTGATTGCTAGGAGGGTTGTAGAATTGTGTTTTCTGAGAAAAGATTTCAGAAGTAAACTTGTTGATGGATTTCTAAGTTTCCTACCTACGCTAATTATTTATATCTTAGGTCTTGCTTTAGGTCGTCTTTCATAAACGTGGGATTTATTTTTTAGAAATTAAATTGGAAAAATCTCGAGTTCCAAAATCCCAAACCTGTTATACTGTTTATTTATTAGGTTTTGTTTTGAAACAGCTTGAGAATATCGAGGAGAATCAGCTGAATAATGCGGAGAATATTATCCCTGTTATATTTGAGTTCCTCACCCTACTCTCCTATGAGAGCTATCATTCCAAGGCATTATTCTCTACTATTTGAAAAGGGACTGTTAACGTTATTTTAATTGATCTTCTCAAAGTGCAATAAACAACATCTGTACCTTTTTCTTAAATACACAAGTTGTCGATCTTTTGATGAAGCTCTTCTATATTCTTGAATCAAAAGAAAATTTGAATTTTTTGCTAAAAATAAAATCCACATAAAGATTTGACGAAATTATAAATCTGTAAAATGTAGAACTAAGAAGACTGAAAAACAGTTAATTAAAAAGTTCAGAAGAAAAATTTTTTAATTAAAGAAAAAGGAGAATGTTTTCTTATGAAAGGGATTTTTATTAAAAGTTTTAAAAAGAAATAAGATAAAACACTCTAATCCGAATTTGATGCACCCCGGCCGTTAATGGCATCCTTGTCTGAATATTTTCTAGAGAATATTGTTACCCAAGGTTATAATCGATGTTCCTAAGATTCTCCAGCTGTGTGAAGGATTATCAGCTGGGGATCAGCGTAGTGCCGCGTACACTGTTGCTGCGCTTCATGTGGTGGCTACAGATCTATTCACCACCAGGTAATACAAGGAGTACGTTTAAGAGGCCTGTTAGTGTAATTTTACGTGACCCTCAATGCAAAAATGGCAATTAGTGTTTTAAAATGGTAATCTTAAAACCTCTTAAAAGCTCTTAAAACCTCTTAAAACCTTTATCTGATCAATAAAATACGCTTAAAGTCATTATAAACATGAACATTTTTTTAGATTATTTTCAATATACAATTGTTCCATATGAAATACAAATTTTTTTTTATAAAATACAAATTTTTCTCAGTTCTAAGATACGAATTTTTTCAGTTTTAAGATACAAAACTTTTCAGTTTTAAGATACAAATTTTCTTAGTTTTAAGATACAAATTTTCTCAGTTTTAAGATACAAATTTTAAGATACAAATCTCAGTTTTAAGATACAAATTTTCTCAGTTTTAAGATACAAATTTTTCTCAGTTTTAAGATACAAATTTTCTCAGTTTTAAGATACAAATTTTTCTCAGTTTTAAGATACAAATTTTTCCGTTTTAAGATACAAATTTTCCTCAGTGATCAAGTTTGATTTGTTGCTGATTATTTGTATATTTGTATATTATTGTAAACATCGAAGTTAATAAGTTCACGTTTTTTATTTTTGATTAAATACTTTTAAGCAGGACTTATTGTTTAGGTCTAGTACAGGAGATGGTGAGTTGGATACTCAGCGTGAAGTTATTATCAGTATGCTGCTCCGCTATATTTCTCATCCTACCGTTAAATCAACTATACCAGGACTTATTGTTTAGGTCTAGTACAGGTGATGGTGAGTTGGATACTCAGCGTGAAGTTATTATCAGTATGCTGCTCCGCTATATTTCTCATCCTACCGTTATATCAACTATAGCTAGTATACTCACGTGGATACGAGGAGAGGCGGGGGGAGAAGAGAAATCTAGGAAATTATCCAGACAAATACTTGATGTTCTTCTACCACAACTATGTGGTCACCAGGTATGTCTAGAATCTAGATACTTGATGTTCTACCACAACTGTGTGGTCACCAGGTATGTCTAGAATCTAGATACTTGATGTTCTACCACAACTCTGTGGTCACCAGGTATATCTAGATACTTGATGTTCTACCACAACTTTGTGGTCACCAGGTTTATCTAGATACTTGATGTTCTTCTACCACAACTCTGTGGTCACCAGCTTATAAGAATAAATATATAAACTAAAAAAATAATGATAATGATGAAATAAATAATAAATGATGATAAGAATTTTAATAATAAATGTTTTGATAAATTGAACATTCCACTGAAAAAGTATGGGGCAGAGCCACATATGAAGATGTCGACTTTGGAAGGGTGGGAGGTTGTGCACCCCATGGGTGGGAGGTTGTGCACCCCTGGGTGGGAGGGTGTGCCCCCCTCTTGCTTCTTCCTTAAAACCGTAATGCATGAAAGTACAAATCTCACGTAATATATTTGTAAGTTATTTGGTTTAGATTCAATTAAGTCATCAAAACCACGTGGTAGGGTTGTTGAAACTTCTAAAATCTCTTTGCCCGGGCTCATTAAGACCTTGTGATGCAGTGGTGTCATCTTTACTAAGGTTAGTGGATTGTTAAACAAAAGAAGTAAAATAGACTAATAGACCCGGGGGAGGGGAGGGGGGGTACTAATCTTCTATTAATTCTTACAAATCTTATTTTCCCCTTTAAAAAAAAAATCAATAGGTATCAAAGAAATTATGCTTTTACGCTTGGTATCCAAAAAAATTCTGGAATATTAAATCAAAGAAAATTTGCAAATTATTTAAACTTAAAAAAAAAATTATATTTTTCTCAGTTGCTCTGTTGATTTGAACAATTTAACCGAAATCCATTCCTGGCTCGCGTTCACCATCACCAGCTTGGTCATCATCTTCCAGTTGAGCCCCGAGGAGGCCATCTTGGGCAGGCTGCAGGTCAACACAATCAAAACTTTAATACCTCTATTCCAACCTTTTTTCTTTGCTTTGTTGAATGTACCCAATTTACACGAAATGATATCTTTACAGAAATTGATTTTAAAAATTATAGTTTTTTTGCAACATTAATTTTTTTGTGAATTTTATTAAATTGCATTTGAAATGCGATGTTTAATCTATGTTTACAAAACCAAAACATTCATAAATTAACGTTTTTCATCTAATTGTTCGAACTTTAAAAGTTCTTTAGTTCTCACAGAAACAGCAACTGTGCAGTGTACACAGACCCAACTCACATCAGACTTTAAAATTTCATAATCAAGCTAAAAAAAAATATTAGCTATAAAATGCACCACTGTATTTATAATCAATAGTTGCGTGTAATGTAGGAGCTTGGAATAATGTTGGGAAGTGGAACTGGATCCAGTATTCTAGACTCTAGTATGGAGAGTAGCTGTAGCTCTACTGATCCCTTGAGACAGGGTCCTGGATCCCCCCCGGAGTTTACCCTTGTCACATTCCTCTTCCATTGTGTTGGAGCAGCAACATCCAAACTTCATCACATGGTGTTCTCCACTATACCTCAGGATAAACCTGGACAAAGGTTTCTGGAGTGGGAGCTCAAGGAGATCCTTCTTATTGTCATGTATATTCTTCAATCTGGGAACTGTTCAAGGATTGCCAAAGCTGGGATTCATCTTGCTAAGAACTGTCCTCCTGGAGCTTTACATAATATAGATTTAATCACAGATATGATACTTCAGCTCTCAAACTCCAATCCAACCATTGTAACTCAATGGTTGTACATCATGATACTTCTAGACCGTTCTCCCATCCCAATCTGGGCCAAGGCCTTGAACTCCGGCACTGGAGTATTTAATTCTATAATTGCTGGAACTGAAACCTCCGAACCCTCCTCAGTTCTAAATCTTGAAATTGTGAGAAGATCATCTCTAGCTGTTGTTTCCAACCAACTCATTGAGAACACTCATGACGGAGAGCTTTTGGCCTGGTTTCTCTCCTCACAAATCCGCGAAATAGTTCAATACGCCAACGAGCCGCAAATCCACGAACTCCTGTCTGTAATCCACAGACAAGCTCCATCCTCCGGTCTCTTCCTAGAATCCATCTCAGCCCGCTGGGACATCATGAAGAGCTCCCATTTTATGAAGTGTACCCTAGACTGCCTTGCAAATACTCATAAAGCACACACTGGTCGGGTACTCAATCTCCTGGTCAATAAGTACCTTGTACATCCGTCCCTAGCACTGTCTAAACGAGCTAATGTCGAGGCCTGTAAAAGGGTGGAAATTCTTCTTCAAGAATCAGAGGTCTTTGTTCTTGAACAGCTTCCACAATCAGAGCTTTCAAAAATCTTGGAGCTACTTTCAAAGAAAAAGCTGCTTGTTAGGTAATTTTTTTACTTAATTTGACTAAAAATTACAATTTACATTTTTTTGATATTTTAAAAAGGTTTGCACGCTTGATCGGGTTATTTAATCGTCTCTCCGTCTCCTTCTATGAGCTGTCTCCGGTGGATTTCGGAGACGGACGGAAGTTCCATCCTGGATCCATATCCAACGTGGAGCTTGATAATACTTGGTTTCTCAACCAGGTTAAACGATACTGCTGCTCCATATCACAACCTAAGGAACAAGACAAATTATCAAAATAGTTTTTTTTCATTTATTTTCCAAACTTTTTATTCGGCGGCTTGAGGGTTAATTCAGAAATAGTTAATTTTAAACACAAGTTTTATTTCAAGTTGAAAAAATATTCTCTAGAAATGAATTTTTCGTTGTATACTGTTGATACTTTTTGGTCTAACGATTCCATTACGGTTTTACGTTAAAATTTTTAAAGATGTTTAATTAAGTAGAAGAAACACTTAAAATCAATGGTTCGGAAATAAGTTTATCAAAATATGAATATAGCAAAGCAATATCTACCTGAAATATAATATTAAAGTTTATCATTTTAAAGTAAAAATCTCTGTATGTGTGCACTGTGTATGTCCATTGTCCAATAATAACTCATGAATCCCTTTTTCTTATTTAACTCAAATTTTGATTAAGAAACTCGGAAGACCCATGGGAAATAAGTTTTAAAAAATTTTATTTCAATTTACGACAAAAAAAAACATAAAAAGGAACAGAGCTAATTGTTAATAGTTAGATTAGTAAGAAATGAAGTTTGAAAATTATCAAGAATCGTATTTATTACCCTCTCCCTTTCTTCCTTTGCGAACATAAATATGAACAATGATATTAAAGTTTAGCCATATATATTAAGTAGTAGTCTCTGTTTGTTTGTATTTTCTATCATAACTCAAGAACCCCTTGACTGATTTGCCTCAAATTTTGATTGGGGAACTCGGAAGAACCACGGAATGGTTTTAGCTTAGCTTAGTTTTGAGATTCTAAGTTTAGTTGGATGACTTTTAAGGGGAAAAATAGCTAAGCGCTGGTAAACCCTATGAGTACCCATGGTTTCTGAAACTAGTTAAGAATAAAATCAACCCTATAAACTTCAAATAAATGATAAAATTTGCTTTGTTGTTACCAGGAGTGCGCTAAGCTTCTCTCTAACCTTGGATTCGGAGATATAATGCTGGTGCTGACCGCTAAAGATTTTAATATCCGTATACTAGACGAGTGCTTAGTTCAGGGGATAACATTACCAGACGGTAGAGCTCCTAGTATGGATAGTTTAGATAGACTTCCGGGACTACTCAGCGATCCAGATAGATCTCCAGGTATTAATAGATACAGATAATAATCTGAGTGAGATCGCTAGTTTTATATTGCAAATATTATTTATATTGTCGGACATAAAATCTCCAGGAACCGATTTATATAATTGTGAGAATTCGTTGAACGACGTAGAGACGGTTAAACCATGTATATCTTATAACTGGTTCAACCTCAAGTTTTTAAATGTTGAACTATCCTAGTGAGTTCACTTTTTACCAATAAGAATAAGAATAAGAAGAAAAATCTGAAAAAACTCCCGAAATGGAATCCCCAGATCTATTTCCCCCTTCAGTTCCACACGGCCCCTAGCCAGCAGACTGCACCCTACACAATCTAGAGGGCCAAGTAGGTACCACCAACTAACCCATTGGACATTTTTGTAAAAGAAGGAGAGGTGAAAAGTAGATGAAAGGTCTGACACCAGTATGAACCATCTCTCTAAGATGGTTGACTACGATATTTGCGGCTCTTTGATTGGCTGGAATTGTTGGCGAATTTATTTGCATGAGCTTACTTCATATTAGGGTTGTTAAAAATCTAGAACTTTCAATCAGTAATTCAGGATTTGAGCCAGTGTGCATTTGTGAATTAGTTTGTTTACAGCAACCCACAACGTTCACGCTCTTGCGCAACGTTCTATTAAGATTTGGTCAATTAAGCTGTTTAAACTGAATCTAGAAATAAGTTGGTGTAGTCCTAAAATGGGTCAAAGACTACAAAAAAGAATAAGACAAAGGCATTACTTCTTAAAGCCAACCTGGTCTTTAAAATGTATGCATAAATTGCATAGCTGAACTTTAGTGAGATAAGTTACAGACAGATCTTAAATCCCTTTTAAACTAAAACATTAGAAACTTAATATCTGTTGAACAAAATAAAAAGAAGACTATTGAACAATGATAAAGGGATTTAGTCTTTGCCAGAAGCTCTGATTTTCTAATACCTTTATCTGTGCAACCCAACGTGTTTACAGGATCAGGTTGCAGAGATATAGAGATTAGAAAGTTTCACATATTCAGATTTACGTTAGTTTGGATACAAGATATAACATATTCAGGTTTAGGTGAGGTTGGATACAAGATATCACATATTCAGGTTTACGTGAGGTTGGATACAAGATATCACAAATTCAGGTTTAGGTGAGGTTGGATACAAGATATCACATATTCAGGTTTACGTGAGGTTGGATACCAGATAAAGGAAGGCCCCCCCTTGTTCCGCGCTGCCAGCCAAGTTCTCCTCCAGCACATCAAGAACCTTGTAGAGCTTCTTCCTAGACCTTCACAGGTTAGTTGAGATATTTTGTGTGGGGCTTTACATGGCCCCTTGGATGGCTTGTGACCTCTCGGGACTTTAAAAAGGCTACCTTTTGAAATTTCACCAAAATTATAAATATAAAAAAAACTTTTTTAATTTTCTGCAGTAGAATTGCAATGTCAATTGACTGAAAGGAAATGGGGAAAAGATGCACAAATGTAAATATTGTAAAGTGTTATATATATATATTTGTATATTTAATATTTTAAATTCAAAAGCAAAACAACCATGTTCAATTAATAATAACACACTAAACTATGCAAGTGTGCCATAAAAGTTAAAACCTGGCCAGCAAAGGGTCGCCACGGTACATGCCGCGCGTCAATAAGATCGGCGCCTGGGGTTGGGCCGGGTAGAACTCGAATGGACTCTATTCCACCATGAAATTGGCTAGCAATGCATTTTTATTAATTAAGAATGAGACTTCAGAAACAACAGAGCGGTGTACGGCTATTTTTAGTCTTTTGCATAGGAAAAGAATTCCGTAAGAAATACAAGGATAAAATATCCTGCCCCTGACTATATTGAATTGTATTGTATTTTAGGTGTATAGACCTCAGAACTGGTGGCAAGTGTCTGGCCAGGAATCAAGATACAGTCACAAATTAGACGATTTCTTCTCAAGAACAGACGGACGAAACCTTCTTATCCAGCTTCTACCAGCTTTCTCCAAACTGTTGCTGACCTACCCCCGGCTTCCGGGAAGACGACCTACTTTACCTCCCCACGCAGTACTGGAGATGGCCAGGTTTGGTATATTAGCTCTGGAGCTGGTAAAATGGATCCTGGTCGGGAGAAGAGAGGATATACCCGGGAAGGAACACATTTTAGATTCATGTCTTCAAGTTGCTAGTCTCACCTTCTCCAATCCTCATCTGACCAGCGCGCTCTCGCTTCCTGCACATAATGCATTGGTCAGCTCTGCTGTGTTATCTATTACTGATTATATCCTTGTATCAGTCCCTGGGTTTACTCTGCCTGAGTATCCCTATGAAAAGATTTCTAATCTGATTATTCTGCCAAGTCCTCCAAGTATCCTGGTATCTGGAACCTGCCTAGCCAAGCTTCTTATGGTTTACGAACAGAATCAAAATATTTTAAATCTGTCGGAAGATGTATTTACCATTATTGTTGGATTATCCCGACTCACTCAGTTCTCTAGTCTAACCCGAGCTCCGCCCCTTGCATTTAGTCTGGGTTGGAGCCCTGACCTGGGGTTGGATCAGGGTATCCATATATCTAGTATTCCCGCTTACCTTCTCCAGGAGAAGGAGGTTCTGCATCAACTTGTTTGGAGATTGAATACTTTAGGATGGAGCAGTAGAGCACAGTTTGAAGAAACATGGATGTCTCTTCTGTCCGTGTTAAATGTATCCAATGATGATCTGAGTAATGAAGAAATTTCAGCATTATCCCAGAGCACAGCTCTGGTAGTAAATGCTTTATCATCCCTTTTGGTAACTACTTTAGCTTTACCTGTAGCAGGTATACCTGGAGCACAGCTTCTTCACCATCCTAGAGACACTCCAAACCCTTTCCTGCTCTCAGGTCGAGGCCAACAGTTGACAGCTATTCAGAATATTATCCATCAGCGTCTTGATGACGCTGCAACCAGGATTGGGCTTCCAGTTGATAGTTCGGTCAATCTAGAGAGAACTTATAGTTTAACTGGTGAGCATAGAACCAGCTACAGTCCTGTACCCAGAACCAGGTACGGAGCAGGACAGGTTAGCTTGAGCTACATGTCAACATGTATGGCCTACCATGAGGAAGGATCAGATGACCGGCAATCCATCACCTCCTCCGCTCTTCCACTCTTCCTCTTAATCCGCGAGGAGAATCTAGCAGCTGCAGGGTTAGATACTAATTCTTGTATTCATTTTATCATTGATCTCTTCTCACAGTGGCTTGCCTTTGGGGGACAGGACACTCCTTTGACTGTTCTAACTGCTGCTGTGAGATCTATTATTATGGTATCTGATATATTTACCCAGTCAAACCAATTCAACTGGATGCTCAGTACACTGAGCGAGCTACAGAAGGTACATCCTGGTGAGGATGAAATTATGTCAAGTAACCTCTGCCTAGGACTGTGTAAAGCTGTGGCTGTTCTTGGAACATCAGATACCGAGCTCATGGAGAGGTTAAAGAAGAGTATTGAATCCTGTCTTAGATCTCAATATATATTTGCTAGAACAGCAGCTCTGCATGGTTCCCTCTACCTGCTGCAGAGTGATCTAGGAGCGGAGCTTCAACCAATCCTAGGAATTGTAACAGAGCATATTAAAGGTTTTCTCTTGGTTGGTAGAACTGAACTAGGAGTGGATGAGAATACTTTGGTGATGTGGAGTACACTATTCTTCATCCTGGAGAACTTCTCATCTGAGATCCAGGACACAGAACTAGAGAACAATCTGACCCAGCTTTGTCTGGCAACCTCCAGCCAAGCTGACCTGCCCCGACCTCTCTACACCTGTCTACTGACAGGCCTGGAGCGTTTGGTTGTAGCTGGTCGTATCAAAGGTCGCCAGCTGGATCAACTCGTAAAAATCGCCACAGATCTAATGACAGAGTGGGCGCCAGTTAGCGTGATACCCGCCGTTCAGTTGTTCCTAGCGGCGATGTACGCCAGTCATCCTCCGTCTAGTGAGTACAGTGGTCAGCCAGCTCCTCTCACAGATCCTGAACAGCTGATGCAGATGATGGAACAGATGTCGATACTGTTTGATTGTGTAAGGCGGGCTGGTCCTCCTCAAGCTGAACTACTCTCAGAGATACTTCCACAGGTTGGTTACNTTATTTTAAGAACAGATCATTATTTTAATTTCACGTTTTGTAGAAATCGTTAATAGTGTCTAGCTAGAGTACGACACTATTTAATTTTATTTTTTCTGTAAATATTTACCAACAACTTTGTGTTTGTGTATACCTTCCCATAGCATATTCGATTTGATCCAACCTTTAATACTTTAACATTTTACATTTGTCATAAATTATTAATTCTTGTAAACTTTCTGGTATTTCCCAATAAAATGGATTTTAGCGAGTTTAGTAATTTATGCATTAACCAACATGATATGGGACACCTTGTACAATGTACAATGCACATTCCTATTTAAAAAGCTGTTTTTTTGTTGGAAAGCAACAGTTTCATTGAATACCGCTTAAAAGAAAACTTATTTATGCAAGACGCAGATCCAGATCTTTACAAAGGAAAGTCATTTATTCTTGGAAAAATTAGAATCTATGGAAATTTTAACCCCCTTTATATTTTTATATACCCCTGAAAACTTTTCATTTTTCCACCAGGAGCTTACTTTTCATGATTTTCTATGAGTAAATGTCATCATTTCATTCAATTTTGTCAGGGGGGGGGGGGGTATTTTATTTTTTATTACTATCATTATCAACCAAAGTCATTGCATTTTTTTGGTATTTTCATTGTCATTTTTCAACAATTATTAAGTAAGGTTTTAAAAATCAATCTGTATATAAGCTGTATATCTGTATACATTTTATTGTTATTTTTATAGATTTTACTATTATTATTCTTATGGTTGGATTTCAGATCTTTACTCGTATATCTCGTATTTTATTGTTCTTATTATTATTCTAGGTTTTGATTGATTTCTTCCCAGCAAGTGATGTGGTGAACCGTGTAATATCGGAGTTTATATCTCCCGGTCAACCTCATCCTGCTCTACTAGCTGGGGTACTCAGACAGATATTTAGAGCAGCTGTATCTCAGGTATTGTATTGTATTGTATTGTATTGTATTGTATTGTATTGTATCGTAATGTGTTGTGTTGTATTGTATTGTATTGTATTGTATTGTGTTGTGTTGTGTTGTGTTGTTGTATTGTATTGTATTTTATTGTATTGTATTGTATTGTATTGTATTGTATTTTATTGTATTGTATTGTATTGTGTTGTAATGTGTTGTAATGTGTTGCGTTGTATTGTATTGTATTGTATTGTATTGTATGTATTTTATGGCTAATTTTAAGTCACAGTCCTGAGTTCTACGGAATGATGGTTGATTTATTGTCTTTTTTGTTTTTTCGTCACTTTTCATCGTACGTTGCAAGTAAAAGAAAAATTCGCGGATTTTTCAAATTAAATTTGTGTATTTTTTAATAATTTGTTTCAGGTCAACATTTGAAAAAATGTACTTTTACCTTTTATTTTTTCAAATTAAACAATGTAATGTAAATACAGCATTTTACTGTTTCCGCGTTAAATAAAGAATTTGTTGAATTATATTTTAGAACCAGCAGAGTATGCTGACAGAATGGGTTCTGGTTTCTCTACCTAACTTTACAAGACGTGCTCCTCTCTCCCACTCCATCTGGTCAGTTTAGACTTTTGTCAAGTTTCAGAAATTCAGATTTTAATACTTTGGATATTGTTAATTTTTTATTTTATTATAAGTGGAACTTCTATTTATGTGTAACTGCATAGTGTATACTGTACAGTGTACTTATTAAAGTAGTTCTGTGCTGAGTACTGACGACTGTAAAGATTTTAAACATTCTATTATTTACATTGTTCCCTGGATCAGCTTTTAAACAAAAATTGCCAAATCAATTAGTAAATCAGCAAATGACTGAACTTGTTACAGTTGAACAGATTTATTAAATTCTAGACCGTATCCCTCGGTGGTAAACCTGTATATTTATAATCATGCATCGGTACTGGATAATGAACTTGGGAACTAAACTGTTTAACAATTCGAACTTTACAAAGTCTGGTTTTCCGATTTTTGGGTAAATAAGGTGACATCAACTTTTGTATTGCATGAAAAAAATTATAATTTATATTAATAATTTAAATCTACGTCTGCACAAACGTTACCGCGTATTTTTTTTTTTGGGGGGGGAGGGTTGTACTTTTGGAGGAGCGGAAGGTTTTAATATAAAATGAAGCAAAGATAAAACTATGTGATTTCGTTATCAGTATTATAATCAGAACACAAAATACATGTGAATACTGTACTGTAAACATTCTCTTTTTTAGTTAAGTTTTAGTTTAGCTTAAAGCGCCTTTCTAAGTGACCCTACTTGCAAAGATGGCAATCCCGATTTACAACGGTACCCTTAAATGCGTTGTCTGTCCAATTATAAATTAGATATCCATGTTTTAGTTTATTTTTATTTGTAGTTTCTTTGTTAAAGTGACTTGCGCATTTCTTGCTTGTACGATGCAATAAAGAAAGTCAAAGAAATAAACACTTAGAGTCAGAAAAACGACGTTATCTTTTTTGATCAGATTAAGGTTTGCTATCTCTGCGTGGAGTTTCACTTAAAATCACGTGTACAGTCCATTAAAGTACAGGGTGTCTCGCATTATATTGAATTGTGCATAGCTCTAAATTTCATTTTTCGGAACAAAACATCTTTAAGATTGGATCATTTTTAAATTGTATTTTCGATACGTAATTTAAAGCTTGTCGAGATAATTAAATATAGCTCTGTATTGCTGAACAACTTTAACGAACTTTTTAAAACTTTTTTAAACTTCATGATATGGAGATGACATCCTGTACATTAATAATCGTATTTACGGTTAGTCTTGACGAAGGCTCAGCCCTGACTTCTACTGAATGATGGTTGATTCTGTTTGTTTGTTTGTATGTTTGCATATTTTTATATTTTCAGGTGTTTATCATGCTTTTTCCTTGCTGCTTCCACAAACCCTTGTTTACAGGTCTTTTTTCAATTCATTCATTCATTATTCTTAAACAACCCTTTTTTTCTTAAATTCTTAATTTTGTATACTGTATATTATCCTTAACTAAACCGTGTATATAGTACACTTTCCTAAACTCTAAACCTTGTATATTGTTCACTTTCCTAAACTCTAAACCGTGTATATTATTGTTAACCATTAATTTTAAAACCTCTATAAAATGTCGTCTTCAACTCGAATCTCCTGTCGGAGACAGCCAAACCAAATTTTCAGCCCGCACTTCCCTTGTTCTCCTCCGACGGAGTTTAAAATATTCTCGTTGTTGTGAAATCATTAAAGTTAAGCAAAATATTTTCACAGGAAGCATTAGTGAATTTCGTTAAATATTTGTGGTACCTTTAGGAATACCATAACAGAAAATATCAGCTGGAGGGGATTTAATCTTTCTAATTTTCTCTTGAGTTCTTGTACCAGAGACAACTGGCTTCCCTATATTTCTTCTTTTGTTTTAAACCGTGCATAATGTACAATTTCCTAAACTCTAAACCTTGTATACTATACATTTTCCTAAACTCTAAAACCTATATGTATATTGTACATTTTCCTAAACTCTAATCCGTGTCTACTGAAAACTTCTAAACCTTCTATAGTATACATTTTTCTAAACTCTAAACAATAAACATTTTCATGAGCTCTAAACTGAACACATTATCTTTATCTCTAAACATGGTACATTTTACAAAATTATAATCTGTGTAACCTTACTGCTGAAACTAAAACCTTATACTCTGTCATGTTTCCAACCTCTAAAATATGTACGTGTCTAGGCAATGTTCCCCCACCTGTTGTACAGAACAACCTCTACTGAAACCTTGAACTCGACCTCGCATGAGGACAGGAGGCTCTTCTGTTTGGCCGGAGCAGACTTCTACTTCCTGCTGACAGGTCACTTTAAAGGAAATAGAAAACACCCTCCTTAAAGGGACTGTAAGGCGTAAGAGCAAGTTCAAGTGACCCTCCATGAAAAGAGGGCAATGCCCTATTTACAACAGTACCCTTTCAACCGTTGTGTGTTCATCAAGTACAGAGTTCTCTGTGTTTAAACCGCTTGTTTCTTACAAATTCCGGTGTGCGCTGTGTACAGCATGAACTCGAAACAGCTGATACGTTACATCTTCTTTTGAACTATAAAAGTGGTTTTCAAGTAAATGTTTAGTTTCTGTCACTTCTAGATTGTATCTCTGAGATGTATTACAGCTTGCATACACAGTGTTTAACAATTTAAAGCGTTTTAGTAGTTTAATAATGATATGTCTAACATCCTTGATCAGTCAAAGGTTTGGGTACTATTGTGAATCGGGGAAGTCCCTCTTTAAATAAAAAGTCGCTTGAAATTACGCTTACAGTCCCTTTAGATAAAAAATTGCTAGATATTAAGCTTACGGTCCCTTTCATCCAACCCAATTTTAGGGGGCTACTTTTAAAAATGATGTCCGTTTAAAAATCTTAATACCAAGCAAAAGCAATGGCTCTAATTTTTTTTGTTGCCTCGTACTTTTTGTTACCAAGTTTAAGCAACCGCCATTTCTATATCTGTTTTATAGTACCATCGAGAGGCATTGTTGTTCGGGAAAAAAACAGCATAATTATGATTGTTTGTTGGGACCTTAAATCAATTTACTATATAGATTTTTTAAAATCCAGTTTTGACAAGAAAAAATCAAATATCCATTAGGATTCATAATTTATACATAATGTTTGGCCTTCCCTGGGGTAATATGCACATTAAAATTCATATAATTTCTTGTATTGAAGTTTTATTAAAAAGTAGACTACTGGATAGATCGGGTTTAGAAACGAATTATATTGTAGAAGTTGTAATTAAAAGACGCAAGCATGAAAAGGATCTACAGGGCGTCCCAAAAAAACGACCTTTAAGCAGGGAGCAAGGAATAGAAGGGAGAGACAACTGACGCGGTTCGCCCTACCATATGATTATAAATGCTTTGCAGACGGTACTCCATTTTATATCGAGCTGTTTGGTTTCTTTAGTAGGGCCCCAAAGGAAAAATATGTATTGGCTCAATTTTCTTTGACCAGTTTCGCCAATACATATTTTTCCTGTGGGGCCCTACTAAAGAAACCAAACAGCTCGATATAAAATTTTATATCGAGCTGTTTGGTAGGGCGAACCGCGTCAGTTGTCTCTCTATTCCTTGCTCCCTGCCTTTAAGACATTGTAGCACTACTTATGGTTCAATTTTTCAAAAGTGTACATTTTTGAAATCTTTGGAACATTTCCAATCGATTGATATCAATGAGAGGTATATAGCACTAAAATAAAGGAAGTATTGACCGTTTGAAGTTTGGCATTTTGGTCAAAATGACAAACTTCAAACGGTCAATACTTTTTGTACACATTTTTGAAAAATTTTTGGGACACCCTGTTCTTTTCTTCATAATAATTCTTTCTAAAACTTTTGTCAAATCTTACTATCTCCGTTGCGGACATAGATTTTTACGATCAGCTCCATTTCCGAAAGTTTTAAAGTTTTGAATTAAATATTCATTAAAAGTATTTAATTCCCTGCTTATCCAGAGGTCAAAATTTATGTTCCCCTTTCCCTTGGCGGATTAAATTAAGTCGTTATATTATTTCTTAACTTTGATTAGAACTTGTGTAGTGTGAATCTCGGGATGAAGCATTGAATCGGTCATTGTCATCTTTGCATGAAGATTAGAGAGTCACTTCAAAGTATACTTACAGTCCCTTTAATCAATCTTTGTTCAATGTTTATTTTGTTCAGATAAGAGACAGAAGGATAAATTCATCCAGACATTTCAATCCGCAGCCGAACCTGGAAACCCTTATTCAGAACTCCTGGCTACTGTTGAGACAAGGCAGGAAAATTAAACGGGCTAATTTTTTTTTAATAAAAAAAAATAATGTGCTCTTGTGAAAAGGGAATATATATTATTATACAAGGGCGTCTTTTTACCCCCACTCTCCCCCCCAACGCCCTCTTGGAAAAATATATAGCTCTTGGCACACCTCCCCGCCCCCCCTCCACTGTACGCCCCAAAATATAAGACAGATGAGGTATTTATGTTGAATTAATGTTAATATTTAAATCTGTTTAAATTAATGGCTTGCTCGGAAAAAAGAAAATTACATTTTCTAAAGAAAGAATTATAAAATCTGAGATATTATATATAATAAACGTAATATGTTCTACATGATATATTTTACAATTTCTCTTAATATTACTAATCAAATCATAATAAATGTCGGTTCACATTGCAAAAATGAATTTAACTCCGTTATATCGACATGAAATTGTATAGATTGAATACAAGTTAACAGAATGTATGTTGATACTTATTTAAAATATTCTTCAACACTCGGTAGGCTTATGCACGTACATATTGTACATTTACACACTATTGCATTCCTGTAGGAACATCATTTAGTCTTTCTGTGATATATATTTAATTTTTAATAAAGATTAATGAAAGAATTATAGTGTTTTTTCCTCCCTCTCAGATCAGAAGATAAATTATAAAAACTAATGAACCTAAGGAATGATCCACTGAATTCGGTTCCGCAAAGAAAAACTCCCAATCTGCTTGAGAGACTGAACATGACAGTTAAGAGAACGAGGGAAGGCATTCCACACCATTTTTTCGTCCACACAACAAATGACGTCACAACTCGCCATGATTTACACCGACCATACATTTTTTCGTCTGGGTGTTGCTTCTGTGCCTTCAACTGTATTTGTTTCTGCCTTGTATCACCTTTTTCTAAATTTGGGCAATATCATTTTATTCAATATGGGTTGAACTAGTTTTCGTCTGGAGTCCGGAACACACACTTTTATCATGTTTTCTTATTTTACTCTTAAACGGCAACCTTTAGGTTATATTGGGCTGGGAGTTCTAGAATCTACAACTAGAGATTAACAAAGTGAACACAGCAATTTGTCTAGTACAATATTTGTTCTGATTTGCTTGAGGTATTGTCTAGTACAATATTTGTTTTGATTTGCTTGAGGTATTGTCTAGTACAATATTTGTTTTGATTTGCATGATTTATTGTAAAGTACAAAATTTGTTCTGATTTGCTTGAGGTATTGTAAAGTACAAAATTTGTTCTGATTTGCTTGAGGTATTGTCTAGTACAAAATTTGTTCTGATTTGCTTGAGGTATTGTAAAGTACAAAATTTGTTCTGATTTACTTGAGGTATTGTAAAGTACAAAATTTGTTTTGATTTGCTTGAGGTATTGTTAAGTACAAAATTTGTTCTGATTTGCTTGAGGATTGTCTAGTACAATATTTGTTCTGATTTGCTTGAGGTATTGTCTAGTACAATATTTGTTCTGATTTGCTTGAGGTATTGTCTAGAACAATATTTGTTCTGATTTGCTCGAAAAATTGTCTAGTACAAAATTTGTTCTACTTTGCGTGAGGTATTGTCTAGTACAAAATTTGTTCTGATTTGCTTGAGGTATTGTCCAGTACAAAATTTGTTCTGATTTGCTTGAGGTATTGTGAAGTACAAAATTTGTTTTGATTAGCTTGAGGTATTGTCTAGTACAAAATTTGTTTTGATTTGCATGATTTATTGTAAAGTACAAAATTTGTTCTGATTTGCTTGAGGTATTGTAAAGTACAAAATTTGTTCTGATTTGCTTGAGGTATTGTGAAGTACAAAATTTGTTCTGATTTGCTTGAGGTATTGTAAAGTACAAAATTTGTTCTGATTTGCTTGAGGTATTGTCTAGTACAAAATTGATTTGCTTGAGGTATTGTCTAGTACAATATTTGTTCTGATTTGCTTGAGGTATTGTCTAGTACAACATCTGTTCTGATTTGCTTGTGGTATTGTCTAGTACAATATTTGTTCTGATTTGCTTGTGGTATTGTAAAGTTTGGTAAACACTTCTCTAGCCCAGGCATTTTCAAAATGTAGCCTACCTGTGTGTGCTTCCAAAATATAGAATTTTGTTTAAAGATTTCGACCATTTGCTTTTATTAAATAAATTGGGAATCAGAATCAAACCTGTAAAAGTAAAATCAGGTTAACTTATTGGGACACCTAGACGGTACCCTTAAATTGGGACACCTAGACGGTACCCTTAAATTGGGACACTCAGACGGTACCCTTAATTGGGACACCCAGACAGTTCCCTTAAATTGGGACACCCAGACGGTTCCTTTAAATTGGCACACCCAGACGGTACCCTTAAATTTGGACACCCAGACGGTACCCTTAAATTGGGACACCATGACGGTACCCTTAAATTGGGACACTCATACGGTTCCCTTAAATTGGGACACCCAGACGGTTCCCTTAAATTGGGACACCCAGACAGTTCCCTTTAATGGGGACACCCAGACGGTACCCTTAATTGGGACACCCAGACGGTACCCTTAATTGGGACACCCAGACGGTTCCCTTAAGTTGGTACACCCAGACAGTTCTTTAATTGGGACACCCAGACGGTTCCCTTAGATTGGGACACCCATACGGTACCCTTAAATTGGGACACCCAGACGGTTCCCTTGAATTGGGACACCCAGACGGTACCCTTAAATTGGGACACAAGGATGAATGAGAATTTCTTGTTTATCTCTCAGAATATTTATATTTTTAGTTGTGGTTTCTCTGAAATAGTGACTTGCAGATTTATGCCGCAGGAAGTGAAGTAAATGAAACGAAGGATGCTGTTATTAATCTAATATTTAGATATTTAGAATATTTGACCTGTTTAAATGATACAATTTAAAACTATTTAAATCTCAGGTGTTGGTTAAATAGATTTCAAACTTTTAACTCAAAATTTTAACTTCCTCAATTCAATTTAAAATTCGTGCAATACATTACACATCTGCTCAACCTGATATTCATATATAATCCTGTTCAAACATTTTTTGGGATTATTCTTGAACTTGTGTTTTTTTATTTTATCGTGATTTTTTTCATCTGCTTTATCTTCTGTGCACAGAGGTCATTTTTGTTTCAGATTATTTTTAAAGCGATGTAACCTCAGCCTTTGCTCAAAGACGAACACAAAGGAAAATGAATGATAATAGATATGAGAATTTAAATTTTTTAGTTTTGATGTTTTTTTCTAACAATTAGTTTTTTCGTTTTTTGTACGGATTTTACGGATTTTTATGTACGGTTTGTACAGATTTTTTCTGAAAATGTACGGATTTTTGTGCAGATTTTTCTCAAAATGTTTTGGCCACCCTGGAACTTTAACGAATTAGTTTAGTTAGTTCCTGTTCTGAGTTTAGTTCCTGTTCTGAGTTTAGTTCCTGTTCTGAGTTTAGTTTAGTTCCTATTCCTAGATTAGTTTAGTTCCTGTTTAGTTTGGTTTAGTTCCTGTTCTGAGGTTATGTTGGTTTATTCGAATTTCCCTCTTGTTATCTTACATAATACTCAGCTTCAGCATTAAATTAAACTCACTTTCACTATTAGAAAATTCTAGAGGGGGTGCTTGAGGTATTGTAAAGTACAAAATTTGTTCTGATAAAAAATATATTCGAATATGTTCACACAAGGAATACAAGAAAATATATCCGAATATGTTCACAAAAGGAATACAAGAAAATCCTTGTTAAATGAAAAATAAAATATCCTGTCAAATATGAGAGACAAATTTTCCATTGATATGCTTTAAAAACATAAGGTTTGTTTTAAAGTAAAATAGAAAAGAAATTGTAGAAAGATTGAGTTAACTGGGAAACTATTGTGGTGACGCCTTTTTGATAAAAATACTCAAATTTTTCTCCAGTTTTAATGTTTTCTTTGACCTAATTTTAAATAAAAATTTAATTTTTTTTTCATATCAAATCAAGATAAATCAGGATGGGTATACAAATATCCGACTTGAAACATTCAGAAACATTCAAATAAAAGTCTCTTGCAAATTATTCAGATTGGATGCAAAAAACCGGGGTTTAAAATATTTTCAGATAATACAGTGGTAGGCGTTTATATCAATACAATGAAGACGATTTAAGCTTTGATTGTTAACAAGCTTTTTTCGAATTGCAAGTAAACGAGATAAGCTTTTTTCATTGACATCTTCTCTTGACTTTTAAGTTTATGCATATCCATGTTATTTAACAGCTTGATAAAAATTAAAATTAAATCAAAAGTTGTCTTCATTGTATTGCTTTAATCGCCTACCACTTTATAAAAAAAATTATTTTTTAGCCTTAAGCCCAGTAATTTGTGGAATTTGAAAAACGAAGAAATGGACGTTATTCAGTGGTTTGAGCATAGATAAATAAATAAACATAGATAGCTTATGTACGCAAAATCACCAAGAATTGTACAGTCCGCGAACTCATACTTCTAGGGGTCAAAGTGTACTTCAATGATAAGCGGGGTGGTTTGGTGTTTTAATTAATTTCATAATTATTAAACCACTCAGGAGTAAATTTTATTTCGAGAATATCAAAATATTTTACTGAGCAATATATCATATTGACGAGAACTGAAAAAGGACACGAGAAGGACTAAACTAACTTAAATTTCTTTTTACAGAACTCATGTACACCACAAGTACTCAATGACATAAGAACAGCCAATGTTCACAACCGACCTAGTTAATCTACAGGGTGTCCCACATCATATTAGACCGAGAACGGGTCTAAATTACGATTTTCGGGACTAATTAGAAAATTTCATTAGAATGAATCATTTTGAAAAATAACATAAGGCTTATTTAAGAATTTTCTTGCGGAAAATGATAAGTTTTTCGAGTATTAAGGGTTTATTTTGGTGTTAAAGATTGGAGATAATCTAATATGATATGGGACGCTCTGTATATAATAGGAATATCTTTAAAACATCTCTGTACATTTATATCTTTCAAGATGAAAAATGTCGTCTTATGCGCAATTTATCTTTATCTATGGGTTTGAGACGCAAGTTTTGATACCCCTACCAACCTGTTTTAAAAAAAATTGAAAAATTTTGATTTTTAAAATGGATTTTTTACCGAAAGAATTTTTGATGATAATTTACCGAGGTTTGAAAATTAAATGTATGAATATTGGAGTTTTGGAAAAACAAAATAGCTTGCAACGGAATCAAAGTTGTTTATGGTAAATTTGTATTTTGTAGTTTGTAAGTGTTACGCGAGCCATGCTGCGTGTAGAAAGTCTGCTTGTCACCCCTGGGTATTTCTGAGTTTTCCCTGAAGATCTGTGCGGAATGTATTGTGAAAGAACTAGTTTAGGAGCTGTTTACAGTCCGACTGCGCAGACGCAAGATTTCTTGCGGAATAGTAACTAATTTATGTCAGTATATGTTTATTCGTTTTGCAAGTATTAGCCGTGTTCAGAATTCTGGGATCACTGTGGTAACTATTTTTATTTATATTTATGCTTGTCGGTTTGATTATAATATGATTGATATTTGTATTGCATCTCATAGCAGTTTACAAATTCACACACAAAAAACATTGCAAAGATTAGTTTTCAGTACAATTCCCCTTTCCCCTTTTTTTGTATCTTCCAGTGCAAACTTTTTTGCCTAACGTAGAAATTAAAATAATATGACTTAGATACATGAAAATTAATTGATCCACGTATTCTTCTTTGATCATTGAGCAACTTGACAAAATGTGTGTACTTGTTGATACAATAATCATACAACTTCACGATATATAGCTCATGCAGAAACCCAGTGTTGCGCAGGTTATAGTTACTCCCGCCGTTCACCCGCACATGGCCGATTTTTACCGAGAATCTAAATTTTTGTTGTCAACGTCGAACCACTCAACTTAGACTCTAAAAACCACCTAAGAACATTCCCGTGGTTCTCCCGAGTTCCCAAATCAATATTTAGGCAAATTAGTTATATTTAGATAGATATATTTTGATTGAATAGCATTTTCACATGATTTTAAAATTTATTGCCGATATAATGTTTCTAGTTTGAAAAAGCTCACAGCCGTAAAAATGGGGTTAAAGAAGGGAAGTATTTGTATTTCCATGGTTACTGAATACTGAGTTCCACGATCCCTCCCTGGAACCTCTGGACTGTGTAGAGCTGTAAATAATGTGCACGCTGCACAACATAAATGAATATGATAACCCCAACATATATCCATATAGATACAGATGATATAGATATGCCACATTGGATGGCCATCAAAAATAATCAAGTCAACTTTCATGTTTATTGGGACACTCTGCATATATATATTATACATACATATATTATTGGCATGCCATAAATTTAATATTAGACTATCAAACTTCATAGCTGATGTACAATATACTCTGTACTCTGTACTCTGTAATTACACACTATGAAATCAAAGATATTCTTGATACAGGAGGACCCCCAATTGACGAGACTTTAGAAAATGGGTTGCAAAGTTAAGGCTCACTGACTTAATAGTCAGAACCCTAATGACCCTTCTTCTCTTCTTCGTAAAAAAAACCATAAATTAAACGCAAAGTAGAAATTGTATATTAAATGTCAATTCCAAATAGTAATTTGCAATTTCAAATCGAAACTAAAAACTGAGAAATATAAGTAATATAATAAAAATATTAGCACTAAAAAATTCAGGATAATTTCTTCAAAACTTAGAAAATAAAAAAAAAACAGTTTTATTTCAGAAATTTCAAATAAGCTAGGTTTTTTAAATCATAACTTAAAAAATAAAAATACGTTTCACTGAAACGCTCAAACTTTTTCACTTTTCGTGCTTCATAATATACAATTTTTACAAAAACAAAATTTCTTAATTTTAAATTTGGGGTAGTATTATAGACAATAGACAAATAGTGCATCATGCACTGTTTTGATGACAAACTAGTTAAATCCTAAATTCAAAAACTACCTAAAGGACTCTCCCGCTTTACTGATTTGAACTGTACTGCACTGTACTTTAATGTACATTTTACTCCATTGAACTGACCTTTTCTGTTGTGTACTTAACTGAACTTTCCTGTACTGTTGTGTACCGCACTATATTGCACTGTACTCTATTAGTTTGTACATCACTGTACTGATCTCGAGGAGGTTTCTTTACTTCACTTTTAGAAACACATAGAAAAATTGAGTTAATATTTATATGTACAATATGTATTTTCTTCTTAAAAAAATTGAAGTACATGTACATATAAACAATATACATATATATTATATACAACAAGGATTACTGGACAAAAATCCTCAAATTGAGAAAACTAAAATCCCTAAATGGAAAAGTAATCCCACTCTCTGCTCTATAAAACATGAACATGATAAAAACGGACTATTCTATTTTTCAGTTAAAGGTACTGTAAGTGTAACTTCAAGTCAACTTCAATACCTGATTCACTATAGAACCCTTGAAAACTTTGTCTTATCGAGTATGAATTAGATATCAATATGTTTGTTTCTTTAAAGTGTTTATTTTTATGTGCGGTTTCTCTGCAAAAGTGACTTGTTTTTAAGAAACAATGGAGAAACTGACAGAAATAACTACTTTTCAAGTTAGAAAAATTACATTATCTTCCACATTTTGATCAGATTAAGGTTACAAGGGTACCGTTGTAAATCGGACATTACACTCTTTCCGTGGAGGATAACTTGAAACTACACTTACAGTTTCTTCAAATAAATAAAAGAATTTAGAACAATATTGTTTTAATAAATAAGGGGATCTGCAGGGGATCAAATGCCTTTTTTTTAATTGAAACGCCCTTCTTCCCCCTTAGAAATTCCAGTAAAAAAGATTACATTTTCCTTTTTTTTACTTTTACAAAAGTTTGAAAAGATCTTCCTTCCCTCAAACTCAAACACAGTTAAAGAGTTTCCTTAAATTCAAGAATTTTCTTGGAAAACTTTTAACTGTGTTTCAATTACAAGGTTTGTTCAATCATTTTTAGAAAGCTAAAGGATAAGTAGGAAAATATAAAGAAGTTTAAAGGGACTGTTGTGGAAGACGATGCCTGGCCGCGTTAAACTAGTTCCACAAGATTCAACAGAATGAGATAGAACGGATACGGGGCATTAGTACTGATATCATCTCTACAGTCTACACGTGCGATATCGATATTGACTCTAGTTCTGAACCCTCTAGTAATAAGTTATAAGAAATATATATACTGGAAGTTATCTATGCGTTTTATTAGAGTCTGACTCACGTCCTCTATACTGTAAACTTAATTTCAGGAAAATTTAATTCATAAATTGGTATGTCCAATTCACAGCGGTACCAAGAATGTATTACTTTCAGCTAGATAAACGACGATATCTTCCTCATCATTGATCCGATAATGGTACCTTTGTGAATTGGGCAAGTACTTTTTTAATGGAGGGTCACTGAAATAACAACGACAGACAGTTCTGTTCAGCAATCTAATCCATTGTATAACAAATTTTTAATATTTTTCCCCTTAAATGCCAATGATAACAAAATAAGAGAGAGTGTTTAATGAGCGTGAGTTGTGGACAATACATCTTTACACTTTTAATAGATCAAGTCAATTTAAATTTTAGGATCAAGAGGTTTGCATCATAAACAAATCATTTCTTCCATTAAAAATTTAACAAATGAGACGCTAATTTTTAACGTTATAAAGTTGAAAGCTTGATATGTTTTAAAATTAAAATGTTTCAAACAATTTATCTGATTGGTTGGACATGTTGTATCCAACTACATTTACAATTTAGAAAAAGTTGGAAGAGAGAAAAATGATAAAAATCCTGCACGGTCCGCAGTATTAAACAGGGTAATATTATTCTAAGAGGGGTATTCTAATATTCTAATAATTTAGTGATAACACAGAAAAACTTTCCTTTAAATCACAGATGGCTGACTAGCGTGAAGTAATACTGGATTAGTGGTGTACCGTACCACCGTCCAGTAGTCCTGGATTGGTGGTGTACGGTACCGTCCAGCAGTCCTGGATTGGTGGTGTACCTTACCGTCCAGCAGTCCTGGATTGGTGGTGTACCGTACCGTCCAGCAGTCCTGGATTGGTGGTGTACCGTACCGTCCAGCAGTCCTGGACTAGTGGTGTACCATACCGTCCCGCAGTCCTGGATTGATGGTGTACCGGACCGTCCAGTAGTCCTGGATTGGTGGTTTCCCATGCAGTCCTGCAGTCCTGGATCGATGGTATATCGTACTGTACAGTAGTCCTGGATCGGCGGTGTACCATACTGTCCAGCAGTCCTTCATTGGTAGTGTACCATACCATACAGTAGTCCTGGATTGATGGTGTAATGTACCGTCCAGTAATACTGGATTGCCAGTGTACTTTACCGTGCAGTAGCTCTGGATTGATGGTGTACCGTGCCATCCATAAAGTCTGACCGCGTCAACCTTGTTGCACCGGCTAGTCCTGTCCATAGTACTAGGTACAGTACAAACTGGGACCGGAAAGGTTGACCCGGCTCGGAAATTCAAATGACTACGGCTGCCCGTGATTGGATAGTTTTTCTTGTTTAGTGTCTAGTGTCTAGTGTACATATGTATGATAACAACCAGAGAGATTACAAAAAATCACAGCACTGCGAAATGAATGTTTGAAGGATTTGATAAAATCCCCAATGAATCGTTTTCGAGGATTTTCCTTAAAAACTTAAAAGACCTCCCTGCACAAAGCAACAACAATTTTGACAATTTTATCCAATCGAAAACCGGCAAAAAATGTGAGCTTTTTTACTTAAAAAATATTATTGAATAATCATTTGAAAGTTTCTTTTTTATGAATAAAACACTGATAGGCTTAAAGAGGTTTATAATTGGATAAAATTGCTACAATGTTGAAATTTATTGAAGATTTTAACAATTTGATAAAATATTGTTACAATAGATATTATTGTTAAAATGATCAATGAGTACATATCAGTAGATTTAACAAGTTTGCCAAATGGTTTGTTGAACTTTCATAAAAGATATTCTTTCATTTTCGATCATGATCATCTTGATCTAAGAACTATCATGAACTATCATGATATGACTGGAATTGAACCTGTGAATTGTCAGGCAACTATCCTATCAGCTCCTGCAAAAGAATTTAAGATAAATATTTAATCAAATATTTTAACATTTATTGAAATTTCAATTTTTAAAATTGAACAATTAAAATGGAGAATTAAGAATGAAACAGACAGTTCAGAAATTGTTGTTCATAAATAAATGTTAAATCATATCCAAACAAGAGAATTTAGTTAATTAAGATTTTATTTTGTAACTTGAAACATTGAAAAATTGTTAAAATCTAGTTCCATTTTCAGGGTTTAAAATGGCCAACCACATTTTGAAAAAAGACTGATTTTGTATCATAACTTTCTTTTATTTATTTTTAAAAATACCACTTTTATTCTTAGATTGCTCTAGCTCAAAAAATAATCACCGATTATCCAAAATTTTAACTGAAAAAGAAACCTCAGATTATCGGTTCACATTTTTTTATTTAAGAAAATCTGTTAATTTTTTAATAAGTTAGAACAATTGAAAATAAATGTAAAAAATTAAAAACTTGAAACACCAGGAAAACTCTAAAAGCTTATACTCAAAGAAGTTATTGTATCATAAAAAGTGTGAAGCCCTAAATATGAAATTTTTTTCATTTAAAATTCAGATTTATCTGAAATTTATAAATTAGCCGATAAGAAAATACAATGAGTCAGACTTTAAAAAGTTAGAACCAACCAACTCTGGTTTTCTTGTCGTTGTGTTTAAAAGGAACCTCTGTAAAAAAATCACAGAAAAAAGTTTCTGGAAAAAAATATGGTTAAAAAATCCAAATTTTCTCAAGTCTTAGGTCAACAAGGCCTAGAAAAGTATAAAAATAATGGGATTTATTTTAAATAACTTTTTTGTTTCAATGACTTTTTTCGCAGGACTTTTTAGTGCCAAATTTAGGACTTTATTTCCGAAAACTTTTTTGGCGGTTACTGTGTGAAGAACATTAATTAAACACACTGCTGTCAAACTTATTATAATATAAAAACAATAAAAGTTTATTCATCTAATTTGATGATATTCAAATGTATATCTAAATCTAACTGTAAATATGATCAAGTCCTGCCTGTTTAGCACTTTACAGCCTGTATATGAGTTAAGCAAAGTATAAAAGTTTAAGTCTGAAACTAAATCCTAACTCCAGAACTAATAAACACTATATTCCCCTATTCCCCAGCTTATTTCCCGTATCCTCTCATTCAAACTTTTCAAACCAGAGCAAAGGGACAAGACAAGACTTTTAACATCTAACCTTCTTAGGTTATTTAAAATGGTTCCCTGGAAACCTTCATCTCAACAAAAATATGGAAAACAGCGAAAAGTGTATAATTCTGTCCATTTCTCAATTGTTTCTATTGCAGAGAAAAAACAATTAAAAATAAACAGTTTAAGCAAACAAAACCAAACACATCTAATTCTATACTTGAACAGACAAGGCTGGGTATCGTTGCAAATTGGGCATTAATATCTTAATAGAGGATCTCTTGAAATTTCGCTACAGTCCCTTGAAACGAAAAGCGTTATCAAAATCTCGGTTAAGTTTTATTAAAATAAGACGAAAAAGTCTTGTATAGTTTTTGAGAGCACATCCATAATTCAAAATGAAATCAGTAAATGTCAAAAAATTGAACTTTTCATCCAATTCCTTCCCTTTTATGCATTTATTTCATTAAAACGTACATTTTTTATGTAGGCTTCAAGAGTTTTATCGATATCGAGGAAAACTGTTATGAACGGTAAGCAGGATTGAACTTCGGGGCTTCTACTCATTAGTTTTCAAGCATTATTAAAGTCCCAAGAAATTTTTCATTAAAAAAACTTAAAGATAGTGAAATTAAGCTTTAACATTGATAATATATTACAAATTGTTTGTCTATAGTTATAAAATGAACATTATGAAAATATTTTCCTTCTATCGTGCGTACAATATACAGTTTTCATATGCTTTAGCTACAGGGTGTCCCACGAAAAATGACAGTAGCAAGTCGTCTTTGATTTTGGAATTTATTCAGCCATCAAAAATCAACGACGACCTTCAAGTCGTCTTGCTACTGTCATGTTTCGTTGGACACCTTGTAGATAAAACCTTCAAGTCGTATTGCTACTGTCATGTTTCGTTGGACACCCTGTAGATAAAACCTTCAAGTCGTCTTGCTACTGTCATGTTTCTTTGGACACCCTGTAGATAAAACCTTCAAGTCGTCTTCCTACTGTCATGTTTCGTGGGACACCCTGTAGATAAGACCGGATAAGAAAGTTTTATTCAAGTTTAACCAAGTTCTCTAATTTTTATTATCATTACACAAGCTTAGTCTAATTGTGGTGGAAATAATAAGTCTAGAAGGATTAAATTATTCCATAGTGACCCACACCCACTACCTTCTCCAACAATCCTTTCCCTACCCTACCCTACCTATAAAACTGCCAACTCCTTCGACNAAAGACTTTTCCATAACCACTAATAACCCCATAAAACAACCTTTTAATAAAAACTATAGTTTTTTTCTAATAAAAGAACGATTATATTTTACGAATGATTCAGTCAGAAAACAAACGAAATAATATTTTTTGAACGATTGAAAAAAACTAAGGAAATCAGTCGTTCACGGATGATGAACAAACGAAAGGAAAAAAGCTTAATTCGCCCATCTCTATTCATAATCTTCCTTTCCCACAATCCTAATTCTTCCCTTCCCAGAATCATAATTCTTCCCTCTACCTTATATCCTAATTCTTCCCTTCCCACAATCCTAATTCTTCCCTCTACCTTATATCCTAATTCTTCCCTTCCCACAATCCTAATTCTTCCCTCTACCTTATATCCTAATTCTTCTTTCTACCTTATATCCTAATTCTTCCCTCTACCTTATATCCTAATTATTCCCTTTACCTTATATCCTAATTCTTCCCTCTACCTTATATCCTAATTCTTCCCTCTACCTTATATCCTAATTCTTCCCTTTACCTTATATCCTAATTATTCCCTCTACCTTATATCCTAATTCTTCTCTCTACCTTATATCCTAAATCTTCCCTCTACCTTATATCCTAATTCTTCCCTCTACCTTATATCCTAATTCTTCCACTCTGGACCACTACTTACGATGCAGTAAACGCGCTGAGTACAAAACTACATACTAGGTACACACACATTTTCGTGGTTCTCCCGAGTTCCCAAATCAAATTTGTCAAGGGGTTCATGAGTTATGATCGGACATACAAACAAGCAAACAAAGATTACTGATTTATAAAGAAACTTACTTAGTTAAACAAACCATTCAGCATCCTTGTTATTCCCTGGTATATCACTGGTACAGCTGCTTCCTAGGGCAGCTCCTCTACTGAAGCTGCTCCCCAGAGGAGCTCCTCTACTGGAGCTGCTCCCTTGAGCTGAACTCCTCATCCCAACCATAGGAGTCCTCTGCAGCGTTTGTACTCTCGGCCTAAAATATTGCTGATAATTGTAAACTTCGGCTATTTAGAAGTTATACCGTCCTGACTTTAAGGCAGCTGGGGCAAGTTGTACAGTGTACATTCAATCCATAAACGGTCAAAACGGGACAGTACACCAAATATTGTGAGATGATTATAAATGTAAAATTTGGTAATTTGTACAGTGGGAGGCGATTTCACAATACAATGAAGATGACTTTTGGTTTCAATTTTGATTTTAATCATGCTGTTCAACAGCATGGATACACATAAACTATAGAAGTCACGAGAAGTTGTCAATTAAATTATTTCTATTTGATTACTTGTAAACTTGTAAAGTTGTAAAAAAAGTCGTCTTCATTGTATTGATATAATCTGTATAATTGATGAATCTCTAAAAATGTTTGGGAAAATTTTAAGAGAAATAACAGTTACATTTAAACACCATGATTTAGCACATAGCATGCTTCATGATTTAGTACACAGCATGCGGCATGAATTAGTACACAGCAAGCTGCATGATTTAGCATACAGTATGCTGTATTATTTGGTGCACAGCAAGCTGCATAAATTAGCACACGGTATGCTGTATGATTTAGTACACAGCAAGCTGTATGGTTTAGTACACAGCATGCTTTATGATTTAGTACACAGCAAGCTGAATGATATAGTACGCATTCAGCTGTATGTTTTAGTACACAGCATGCTTTATGATTTAGTACACAGCAAGCTGAATGATATAGTACTCATTCAGCTGCATGAATTACTACACAGCAAGCGGTATGAATTAGCACACAGAATGCTGTATGATTTAGTACACAGCATGCTGCAGGATTAAAGGGAGTGACCGTCAATGTACCATACATTGGTGGTTGAACTGATCAATATGTAGTATTGTGGACACATTTTTTAGGATTCATTTGAGAAATATAAAACGTTTCTACGGCGTATATTTACAGAGTTTGAGCGCAAAGTCGAAGTTAAAAATTATGAATTTGGGTGAATACAGGGGGCGGGCATAACTCTCCTAGTTTTGCCTGGCTAGGTTTATACTGTACAGTGAATTTTGTCGAAAAATGTTTCCTTATGACTGAGTTGGTATCATAGAGTACAGTGGGTTTAATCCTAAGTACATCTTTTTGTACGGTATTGTGTGGACAGTTAATTTTAATATTTTTCAACAATGAAATATTGTAGTGTCAAAAATTGTGTAAACAACGATGTTTCGGGTTCAGAAATTTTTCATAACATACGGAAAGAGTGGAACAAGTTATCTGGAAGACAAAACACCCAATTTTTATATGCAGTGAACCAAAATGTAAAAAAATAGATTGCGTCAAAATCTTTCAAAACTGGCTCTCCTACAAAACCAATAGATTATTTATAATTAAAAATTACTTGTTTCACGTTAAGTTCATTTATGTAAAATAAATATTTCAACAGTTTTCAGTTCTTCAATAACTTTAAAATTAAGTCTAACCTAATTTAGATCTATTATTAGTTGAGAATTGCTTTTCATTCTAAAAGTGAGAAACATATATTACTAAGAGTTAATGCACAATGTAGATTTCAGAAGTAAAGAATTTGATAAGAAGCAAGATGTTATTGAGAAGGATTTTATTTTTTTTCTCTATTTGTCATGTCTCATTTTTATACAAAAATCATATGGGCTTGTTTTCTTTGCTTGAATATTGTAGGCTTCGGATTCAAACTATAATGTCTTAAAACACTAATCTACGAATTGTGATCCCCCCAGGTAGAATTTCTGATCGGGTCATCGTGTACAGTAGCTGTACAACAAGAAGTCTAAAATTCCAGATGCCCCCTCTATTACTAATATCTCGATGGGTGAATACGTTTTCAGAGTCTTTTTTAAAATTATTTCATAACGACGACAAAAAATGTAAATTCTACAGTAACCTAATTAGTTGTTTAGGACCAGACTGAGCAAATAAAAATTAACTCTTATCATCTAAAAAAAAGTAATCTTATTCAATTATTAGTTTCTATTACCTCTCATCATTTGCAAAGATTTTCTGAAGATTTTCTGGAATTTGAATTAAAAAGACGACATTTGAAGAATTTTTAGAAATCTGCGAAGAAATTCATAGAAAATAAGAAATTCCATATAATGATGAAAACGAAATAATTAATTTATTGACAAATTTCCAAGGAGAAAAATGTCCCTAAACATTTAATTAGTTTACTGTAAAATTTTTACTTTGTTTTTCGTCGTCGTTATTTATTAATTTTAAAAAATCGATTCTGAAAACGTACCCACCCTAATTCATGATTTTGAACTTCGATTTTGCACTCAAACTCAGTACTTATACATTGTGGAAACGTTTCATATGTCTCAAATGAATCCTAAACAATTTAATACTGCATACTCAGTTTAACCACCATACATTGCCGGTCACTCCCTTTAAGTACACAGCATGTTGCTTGATTTTTGATAATACAACATTATGAGGTTAAAAGCAGATTAAGTATAAAGGGTGATTAGTACACCGCATGATAAAGTACAAAGCATGATTAAGTACAATGCATGATAAAGTGCAAAGCATGATAAAGTGCAAAGCATGATAAAGCACAAAACATGATAAAGTACACCGCATGGTAAAGTGCATAATAATATTTGAGTATAAAGCACGATTATTGATTAAGCACTATTAAAAACAAAACATTAAATATCGTATGATTAAGTACCCAGCATGATAAAGTCATAAGTATTTTAGTACACTGTATGATAAAACATGATAAAAGCATGATTAAGTATATAGAGTGATAAAGTAAAAAAACCTGATAAAATCTTACATGATTAAATATACAGTATCATAAAGTAAAAAACTTTATAAAGTTTATTAAGTACAAGTTTTGCCACAAACTCTGAAATTCTAATCTTTATATATTTGCAACCAAATGTAGTAAACCTTCAAACTATGAATTCTGGTCGATCAAGTAATCTAAGCTTGAAAATCACAGGCTTACACCATCAGGATGCAAAGATATACGGAAATGAAAATTTAAATTTTGTTTCAAAATTTTGTTGTTAACCCACCTTGTACAGGGAGACGCATGTTTCCCGACCCATTTCTATCAATAATTGTTGTTGTAACACCGTTCATGTATTCTCCCTCACCTTGCACTAAAATATAATCAATAATTGTTGTTGTAACACCGTTCATGTATTCCCCCTCGCCTTGCACTAAAATATAATCAATAATTGTTGTTGTAACACCGTTCATGTATTCTCCCTCACCTTGCACTAAAATATAATTCTCATTAAAACTGCAAAACGATTCATCCCTTTGAGAAACGATATAGTGTCGTTTTTACTCGATTCTGCGTAAAAAAAAACAAATTAATCCGCCTTTTTATCAATACAGTGGTTAGCTTGAAACGGCTTAGCTACAACCTACAATACAGACCTATTATAAGCTATAACATCGACTCTTAATGGGAAAATATTGCTTAAAGGGACTGTAAGCGTATTTTCAAGTGACATTACATTTAAAGAACTTACTGCGATTTACAACGATGCCATATGAACCTTTAACAGATCCTTGAGGACAGAGATCTCAGTTTATATGTAAATATCTTTTAATTGCTGTGTAAAAAGCCGAAAAATTGAAGTGTACGCCAGCGTACTGTGTGAACACAAATAGTGTCACATTTTTCCTAGAAAATCTAGAATATTCTATGCCCACCGCGATATTAAAAAATTCTAATTGATATTCTGCCACTTCTAGAAAGTTAGTATATGAATATTCTTTATATATCAATATATAAAGTACCCTTGGATCGATTTGCTTAAATTTTGATTGGGGAACTCGGGAGGCCCACAGGGGTATTTTTATCTTGGTTTTGAGATGCTAAGTTAAGTGGATCGACTACAAAAGCGAAAATTTAGTTTCCCGGTAAAATCGTTCAAGTGCGGGTAAACGGCGGATGAAAGTTTTAGTAACCTGGGCAACGCTGGGTTCCCAAACAAGTTTATATATTTTAATAAGCAACTTGCAACTTAGCGTTCAAAAATTAAAAGCGTTTCTCAGTTTCTAAAAATGAATATCCTTAATCAGACAACTGCTTATAGTGTACTATATGAAAGAAATATATCTATTTTCTATTTATAATGACAAAATAAAATTCGCCTCGATCAGAAATTAAGCGCAGTACGTTACAAATACTTTATTAATAATTAAAAGAAATCAAACTTCGATATGAAGATGACAGGGAGCTTGAGCTACGATAGGATTCCAACCAACACTTCTATCTTTCTTCACCCCTTGGTATGGAATTTCGTCGTCAACTGACTCTAGTTTCTGTACAGGTTGACCAGCTCAACCCCTCTCGGGATTCCCTGCAATCTAGCCAAAATCCCAGGTGAAAGTCCTGGGAACCCCAGTATACACGGGCCCCTTTACTTCAACGTCAGGTTAAAAATCAATAGAATATCCACAATAGAGAAACAGCATTAAACACTACACAGTTCTATAAGTCTCACTATAGATTCTGTCAGTTCAGAAGATTTACAAGAAAACCAGGAGGGACCCGATCAAATGATTATCGTAGATAAATAAATAAACATAGATAGCTTATGTACGCAAAATCACCAAGAATTGTACAGTCCGCGAAATCATACTTCTAGGGGTCAAAGTGTACTTCAATGATATGCGGGATGGTTTGGTGTTTTAATGGATTTCATAATAGAGTGTAAAATAACTCCGGGAATGGAACTATTTGAACAACAATATTTCACTGAGCAATATATCATATTGACGAGAACTGAAGAAGGACATGAGAAGGACTAAACTAACTTAAATTTCTCTCTACCGAACTCATGTACACCACAAGTACTCAATGACATAAGAACAGTCAATGTTCACAACCGACCTAGTTAATCTATATTATATGAATATCTTTAAAACATCTCTGTACATTTATATCTTTCAAGATGAAAAATGTCATGAAAAATATCTATGATAATAATGTATAGAAAATCAAAAATATATTTACGATGTTCACTGAATTCCCTGAATTATTTGGACTCTCTGGGAAATGAAATTGGTAAAGTTGCAGCTCACAGTTTCAGTTTTAAACTCTTTCAACTCTTTATACTCTCTATACTCTTTATACTCTTTATATTCTTTATATTCTTTATACTACCACATTAACAAAATATTTAACAATTTCATACCAGCATTACAACAATGTTGAAAATTTTGCTCAAAGGATTGCAAATATGGAAAAGTGAAATTTTTCAGAAATATTTTGTTAGAAGTTGTTTAAAATGTAAAATAATATTTCATGGAATCAAAATATTAACTATCAACCAATAACAAACTCAGCAAAAACAGTTCAATTACAAATTATAAAAACAAAAACCATTAGATGTACTTTCAGTTGAGAAATCTTTTTTCAAATTCGCTAAATAAATCAGCAAATATTTATATAGGGCTATAGCTGGCTCAGTTTCATTTGCCATGATACTTTTGCCATAAATACTTTTGCCATATTTACATTTGCCATAATACATTTGCCATAAGTAACACTTGCCATAAATTACACTTGCCATAAGTTACACTTGCCATAATGGTTACACTTGCCATAATTACACTTGCTATAATTACACTTGCCATTATTCAAATTTGGTTAGAATTAACAAAAATATAGAAATATATTTTTTAATTACAAATTAAATACAAATTACAATCTAATTCAGAGACAGTTCGAATTCGGGTTCAAATTGTAACTTAGCACATTTTAGCCGAACATTTCCAATAATTTACTTCTGTAATCAAGGCATTGTCTACATAGGTGTAGTTGTTGCTGTCTCGAACTATTGGTTTACCCTTACTTGTGGTCTCAACGGTCACCAAAGGGTCCTCCATTGTGAGGAAATATGGAGCTGAACTTGAGTCAACTAGTCTGCTAAAAACAATGAGAAAACTAAAGTTGGGAATCTTCATGGTAAAATTTCCCGCCTTTGCAATAAAAAAAGAGAGATTTATATCTTTTTAAAAATTAGAATTTATGACAAAAGTAATTATGGCAAGTGTAATTAGGGCAAGTGTAACCATTATGGCAAGTGTAACTTATGGCAAGTGTGACTTATGACAACCGTAACTTATGGCAAGTGTTACTTATGGCAAAGATATTATGGCAAGTGTAATTATGGCAAAGATATTATGGCAAGTGTAATTATGGCAAAGATATTATGGCAAATGAAACTGGGCCCTATAGCTACAATATAACTCAATGTTAATTTCAGAATTTTGCAAAAATAGTCCTTTTTTGACTTATTAACTTAAAAAACAAACTTATTTCGACGTTAAAATATTCATGCACAGGGCTGCAAAAAATAGTTTAGTTCAGGGCCTACAAGATCAAAACAAGAGCAAAGTGGCCAGGTCGCAATAACTGATGCATAATGTTTTATAGATGACTCTGTATACTAGCTTTGGTATTATAGCCATTGGCCACAGCTAAAGGAATTAGGTTTTTGCCACACATTTAAATTTTCTTATCCCTATATCTTTGCAACCAAATATTGTAAACCTTAAATTTATCAAACTTAAATTATTAGATCTAAAATATAATTCATAGTTTGAAATATATAAGGTTTACGACCACTGGTTGCAAAGGTATAGGAATTATAAAATAATATTTGTGGCAAAACCTCAATTCCTTTACGTTAAATTTTCTAAAAACTCCAAATTTAAGACCTCATAAGTTGATAAAGATGATCAAATACAAAAAATCTTACTTTGATAACTGTTTGCTACCAGTGTTGATCTTGTCTGTTGATCTCTGTTGATCCTACAGGTCCAGATCCAGGCTGCAGCTCCTCCTCCTAGCAACAGCAGAACCAGCAGTCCTACTACACCAATCAGCTGTCCAGTCTCCAGCCCTAGCATTGGCAGCAAACCTGTTCCTAAAGTATATGTGTTGGGTTCTAGTTTTTTATTTTGAAATGCCGATCAGGTGCTATAAAACTATAAATGCAGAATTATAGAGGTAAACTTTTGGATTCATTTGATACCTATAATAAAACGTTTTAAACATTTAATATAATTATGATTAAGAAATAATTGATTCTTGCATTGGTTTCATCAAAAATTCCTTTTAAAGAAAACAAAGGCAGTTTCAGGTGGGGCAGTACATTACCCCACCCCTAAGTGAAACTAGGGGGGGGGGGGGTACCCGCCCCTGGATTTTTACAAAGTTATTACTCCGAAGGCTTTTGACCTGGGACAGGTCATTTATGTCCACAGCACCAACAAGTTGGTGAACCTGGTAAAAATGGCTATCCCAAAGAGCTGCTTGCCTCTATTTTTGAAAACAGTGTTTTAAATCCCTTTATTTTAAGCCGCCCAAGAATACTAATTTATCGTAGATTGGAAGAAGGGAGGATATTTTTTTAATTTCAAACAAAAATTCCTTTATTTACTTTCAGCCTCCTTAGAGTGTATACTTTTATTTTTAACTCTGAAAATAACATAGAAACTAATTACAGTCTTCTGCAGGAAAAATTAGCATGATTTAATAAACATTTAACCCATTCCCGCTTTATGCACGAATCAATTTTAATAGAAGACTAGCTGAAGGGCCCGGCGTTGCCCATAAAAATAATTTGAATTTTTTTTAGCCTTTAACTTCCCGGCCACCCATGAGTGTCCTCAAAAAGAATTTCAGCCCAATCGGTCCAGCTGTTTAGCCGGCTATAGGCAACATATATATATATACGAATATACGAATTAAATAATTTCAAAAATCGATTCTTGAGAGAAAGCCTCCAAATGGACCATCCTCGTGCAAAGTTTTGTAGGTATCAAATGCTATATAAATGTTCTATATGGTACTGCACTCTCAGTTTAATTATTAAACCTAGCCGGTCAGTCTCTTCCTTTAATTTAAACTATGAGCTCTGCAAGATTATAGATTCAAATAAAATATGAAAGATTTACACAATCAGGTTGCAAAAATGTAGGAGGATTAGAAATTAAAGTTTGAGGCGAGTACTCAGAACACTCAGTTACAATTTGTACTGCCATATCTTTTTTACTATATGAGAACCTTTGTAAAACTGGATTTAGTTTTTAACCTTGATCACTTTGCAGTGAAGAAAACCATCAGCGCAAAATAGATTCTTAGAAATATAAGCTTTTAGTTTGGTTAAAAACTACTAATGAAAATATTCTTTACAATATTTCGCCAGAAGCCAGAAAACTGGTTTAGTCAATACTTTTAATTGGTGTACTTTTCCATTTTTCGTCAATAGTTCTATATACTGTACAATGTACAACTAGCTCTAGCAGCCTGTACTTTAAATGAACCGGTGTTTGTAACTTTCTTCAAATAAGTTCACCTCGCTAAGTGTTAAGGTTGGCTAACTATATTTACAAACACATATTCAGACAACTTTTTACTTTTTGTAAAAGACATTTATATATATAAAGTTGTAATCTCTGTTTGTCTGTTTGTATGTATGTCCGATCATAACTCATTAACCCTCAGCACCGATTTCCCTTCGGGAGAACCACGGGAATGTTCTTAGCTTGGTTTTGAAATTCTAAGTTGAGTATGTTGAGTAGGTAAAAATAGCAAAAATCGCAATTTACGACCAAGTGCGGGTAAACAGCGGGAGTAAGTACCCTGGATTCCTAAGCTAGTATGTGATAATAGGTTAATTCTATAACCGTCGTCAGAGTTTTGCTCTAAATTCCAAAAGTTCTAGAACTCATTTTTCAACCAGTTTTATAACTTTTTTTTGTAAAAATGCTAATCAGTGTAAAGGGAAAAAATAGATTGCTTCTACTTCATACCTTGGTTAGTTAACACCAATTCTAACTTTTGTAATTTCTTTTTCCATTTTCTTTTTCCTTTTATTTTTCTAGATTTTCATTTAATGCAGATTCCCCTTGAATCTGATTTATGAGTCTTATTTCCTTTCTTAAGCCTGGAACACTTTTCATGCTCCTTGGACAGAGGTGATAAAACAGTACTTTATTCAAAGTGTTAAAGGGACTGTTTGTGTTATTTGAAGAGAACACTTTCATTTAAAGATGTTACAAACTTTTCACAAGAGTACATTTTAGACTTTGTCTAGGAAAGTACATCTAGCTCTGGAATTTTATAAATGTTAAAAATTATGCTGTAGAAATCCACAAACTTGCGGCCACTGTGAATCAAATGGGAAGATTTATTAACCATCACAATTGGGGGAAAAAATCCTAAAAAATAGTTGGATTTGAACATCTGAAAATTATTTTAACCCTTTCTTGTCGGGGGGGGGGGGGTAAATTTAACCCCAATCTATCGTTTTTTTTGCGATAACAAAAGTATTAAAGTATTTGGGCTAAAAACTTTTAAACTCACAAATGCCCCTCACCTAAGGCTAAAAGCCTTGCTTTTATATCTACTGCCTGAGTCCTCAGGGATACTGCCTAAATGTCTAATTTAGACCTACTTCCAGTCATTGGATTTCAAGATTTTATAGCTCTTTGGAAAGCCTACACTAAAGCAAGCAGATTGTCCAAATTTTGCAAAGAAATTTTGCACAGTTTTTTGCACAGACGCCTTTCAATGGAATTTGCACATTTTCAGTTTTTCTTGAATACAAATTTAGGTTTTAAAAATTTTGCACATTTTTTTGCACATATGAATTAGCTTTGAAGTTGAGGGCTTTTCAAAATGTATAATTTTTTTGCTGAATTTTTACTAATAACTAGATTTCGCAATAAATGTTTGGATTCTTGTAAATTTGCCATTTTTTTCTTCAGATTATTGAAGTAGAATATGCTATAGATTTGTATCACAATAAGAAAATTGAGGGGCTGGGGTCAGTNTTAGTAAACCAGACGTCAGGCTAAATAGGGTTAAATGGCCACATGCAAAAAAACATTTAAAAGCTACAATATTTCACTATAAACTGGAATCTAAATTCGAAACTCTAAAAGGCTTTAAAAATGTGTGAGTGAATTAGTGAAGTAAAATCAAAGGCTCAGGCTCAGACTTTTAAAAATTGATGCAGCTTTTCAGAGAAGTCCGGATCTAATTGGGTAAACAACTTCCAAAAGCATTACAAATCAAATTAGGAAACTAAGATGTTAGAAATATTTTACAGTTAATTTAGTCTTTATAAGATCATTTTTATTTCAGTTATGAAAGAAGCTTTGTTCTGAAAAGTGGATTTTACTAAAAAAAACGGGAAAGTGGGTTTTGTCTTGAAAACGCGACAATGATTCAACGGAATAGAGATTTAGCCACAAATTCTGATTTTCATATCGCTATATCTTTGCAACTTGACGGTGTTAGCATTTGATATTTCAAACTATTATTATTTGAACTAAAATAATTCATAGTTTGAAATATCTAAGTTAAAGTAATTAAAATGCAACGATATAGGGATAAGAAAATCAGAATTTGTGACAAAAACTCAATTCCTTTAGGATTTGTTCGAAAATAGAAAACCTGATATTGTCTTGAGAACAGTCAAGGCTTTTAATATAAAATGAACTCCTTTTATAATTTTGATCTTAGAAAATAGTTTTAAATTATGAGTTGTCCTCGTCATGAATAATGAAATGTTGGTTATAATTTTTATTATCAATTTTTACTCTGGATATGAACTGGGATCCTAATGAGCCAAGTCTTAGTTTTGGAACTAATGTCCTCTGTAAAAAAAACTAAATTTAAATTACCGAGATTTTCAAATTAAAAGTCAGACAAAACTATTTAAGCAAAACTATTAAATAATTGATTTCTTTCAAAAGAAAAGTTTCCATTAATTATTTCTTTTTGAAAATTGTTTCAACGGATTTAATTTTCTAATATAAATTTTAATTGAAGAGAGGGTTTAATTTGCTGAAGGATCTCTGAAATCAATTTGATTAAATCTCAAATGAAATGAAACAATGAAATTTATCTTTCCAGATTTCTATTTTAATACCAAATGGGAATGTTTAAAACTAAAGATAAATGTTACTAGCGAACCTCTGATTTTCATTTCAATAGTTATTTCCTTTAAAAATAAAGGGATGAACGCAATTTTTAACATTTTTAACATTAACAAATAACAAAATTTATTAATTAAAACTAATTATTTTGATGAATTATTAAAAAAAAACTAGGTTTATTATAGGAATAATAGCTCTAGCAGTAATGCCACATTTTTATTCGAAAGTTTTGTAGATTTTCCTGTTTTCATATCCAAAGATATATCCAAAGATAATTTGTTTTTTTTTAACTTAGAACTTTTTCTATTGGTTTAAATTGTAAAACATTAACAAACAAAAAAAGTTCGCAGAGTTTATACAGAAAAAATTTCGAGGATTTTCCAAATTTTAATGAAAATCGAATATTGATGGTGGCTAATTTTAGAAATTTTGATCATCCATAAACATTACCTGGGCTCAGGTAAGGTCCCACACAAAAGTTGGCCCGATAAGTTCAGCCGTTTTAACGTTTATTGGATACAAACAGACAGACAGACAAGCAAAGTATATATACAAATATTAATGGCCGCTTTTATTATATGATGTAATATACAGTTTTATGATGTTGAGTTTTTAATTGCATACAAGAAAATTTCAGGAGGTGTGTTTAGGAAGAAAGAAAGGAAAAGAAGACAAACGATCATTTTCTAAAATTATGTTTGTTTTAAGGAAACTTTTTCCATTAGCAGTAGTGGCAGGGCAACAACTGACATTTTTGTTCTTTGTAAATCCGCCTGCAGCTTGCAAAAGTTTTTACTTGATTTAACTTGAGAAAGTGTTAACATCCAGGTCATTTTAAGAAACAATTTTAGCTTTTTAATGTCAATGTTCCTACAACCAAAATTCTTTGAAAGCTTGAAAAAAGCAAGGTTTAATTTTGTTAATTTTTCTGTTTTGTGGAGGATTTAAATAATAAAACATTTTTTCCATTTTTTTT